TATATTGTATTACATTATATGAAGGTTGTGAGTATGCGAGTGGTGAACAAGTAACCTATAAATGGTAATATGGTATGTGTAATCATTCATGGTAATGTGTAGTGTGCAAGAAACCTAGGTGGTTGGTAAAGGGATAAACTTGCACTCTAACACTTACAAGTGCAGTATATGTGATAAAAGCCTTTTTATCTTACCAAGCACTCAACGACCACAAAGCCAATCACCGGAATCTCGCCGCCACCGCTGCCTTCTTCAATCCCTCCCCCACCACCACCGCAATGACCACTTCCACCACCATTCTAAACCCAAGTGGTCGGACCAAGAGTATTATATCTACCATAAGACGTTCCTTACTGGGAAAGCCCTCGACGGCCATAAATGACGTCACTATGAAGGCAAAAAAGGAACTCAATGAAAATGCTAGAGCCAGCGACAAACACGGCATCGTCTGAGAGAACAATCACCGGAATTTTCACTTGAACTTGCCAGCCATGCCTAAATTCCATCAGGGAGAGGGATTGGGAAAGTAGAGTCTGTGTTTATATATAAAGGTGGGGCAATGTTTCTGATTTTTATCATTTTCCATTCTCTGGAATTTTCTGGTTTTACAAGGGCATTTTTGTCTTTTTTTGTTTTGCGTACCAGACACCGTAGGGTGTGCCGAGTGTGTCCGAGAGTTGGTTGGGGCGTTTCTCTGAGTTTAGGACTCTTAGAAATGCAACAGTTGCCATTTCGACATTTTTCGTTTTTCAGGCCGGAAGGTCCCGTGTGGGACTCGCTACCGGAATTATTGCGTACGGGAGTTTTGGTTGGGTCCATTTGTATATCATTCATTTTTCTTTAGTGTGTGTTTATGTGATAATTGTATAGTTTATAGGCATATATGTATGTGTGGTGGAAAAAGAAAAGAAAAGAAAAGAAAAGTCAAAAGTGGGTTTTTAGTGGTGGGACCTACCACTAGATTTTTAATGGCCAAGAGACCCATTTTTGGTCTCAATTTTCTCTCTCTATCTCTCTCTCTCCCCGGCAGTCCCTCTCTCCTCTATATTTTTCTCTTTTATTTTATTTTCTTCAAGCTTTCAAAGCTTGATTGAAGTTCAACCTTTGAGAAAATTGATAGTACTTCCTTTGGCAAATTTCTAAAGCTCGTCGAGATCGTCGATTTGATAGGAGCTAAGCACCATTTTGGCCAACTTGGATTTCAAAATTAGGGCTTGAAATTGGGAATTTTGGGGGTTTTCATCTCCATTGAGGTAGGGGTCTTTAATACATGTTTTCTTATACTTTTGTGAGTTGAATCTCCTTTATTTGTGTCAAGCATGCTCATTTTATGTTAATTACCTTTAAAATGATGTAAATGACGTACATGGAATGTTCAAATATGTGATAGTTGATGTGTTGTGAATAAGCATGCTTACATGGGATTAAATTCTTGTTTTATGTGCTTACTATGTTGAATCAATGATGATTGAAAGCATGAGTTGTATATTTTAGCAATTTATCTTGAGTAACATGTATGAGAATGTTATGGTTACATTAATGATTAGAAGCATGAAGCACTCATGCATTCATTGGGAAGGAAAAGGGGGGAAAGTGTTTTAAAACAAGTGAAATTGTTTTTGGAAAAAGTTTTTTAAAGTGTTTGCGAAAATCAGACGCCTAGGAGGCGCCTAGTGTTTTTGCGATGTTAGTGTAATCTAGAAGGTAGTGTGGTTGAGTTAACTAGGTCGGATGCGACGCCTTGGAGGTGCCTTGTGGTCGTGGATAGTTAGGCAATCCTCCTTTCGTGACGCCTTGGAGGTGTCTTGGGTCGGATTACACTAATGGTTTAGAAGTTGAAACGGAAATGTTTCGGAAATGGGGAGCCACATTGGCAAGACATTGCACTTCATTTACATATGTGGTGTATTTGTGATTTGGATGACAATTGTGTATATATATTTGACGTTATGGTTATGGATTGCACCCCCAGCATAGTTTGATCCTATTCTCTTGTTTCCTATTTTATATGTGGATTCACGGGGTTATAAGAGGTGTGTATTAAACACTTCCTATTGAGCTTTTGGCTCACCCCATTATTTAACATTTTCAGGTTCGGGAAAGGAAGTGGCGGACGACAACCCACCACAACTCTAAATTGGATTAAGGCTTTTGTTTTTTTTTTTTTTTTTGTTGTATCTTGTATATGGAGCCTAGTTCTTCTGTAAAACCTATATGTAACTTGTATGAGTTGTAAATCATAGACTCCTGTAAATTTTAGTTTGGCTTCATGGATCGTAACCTCATGTTAACGTAATTATTTTGTTCTTAGATATTGAATCATGTGATGGATCACATAAAATGTTGTAAATGGAGGAAGCCTTTTATATGTAAATGATTATCATGTTCAAATAGATGTCGTGGTGTTACATTCAATATTTATACATGTATTGGGACAAGGTTTACTCAATTTTAAGGTTCCATAGCAAGTCTTTTGCATGTTTTCAAGTTGTAGCAAACCAGTAGCAAGTTCACAGTTCGCAAGGCCATTTCGGCTGACCGAAACAGGCACTTTGATCGACCGATCATTCCAGTAGGCTCAATCACTGTTGGAGTCACAACCAGCTGACCGGAATGGCCATTTTGGTCAACCGGTATAGGGGGCCATTTTGGCAAGCCGAAGTTCCATATCGGCCAACCGAAATGCTGATGTTTTGTGAGCTTTGTTCCTTCTTCAGTTATATTTGAGTTTGAGCTTTGGAATCATTGTTGAGAGTCCTTATGAAGTATAATCGTGATGTGAGGGTGGTCTATTGACATTAAACTTGACGGCATTTATTTAGGTAACCATGGGTTCGGGTAAGGACCCAGTTAGCAGTTCGGACCTGCGGATTCGGGTCGTTACAGATGGGTGACAAAAAATCTTACTGTGACAATATATTAATGGTTGGGACCATGAATTTGCTAGTAAGTATCGGACCACCTAATAATTTCTCAGATTTTTAATTATATCCTCCATCAATGCGTCCAAAATCATTTAATCACCCCATAACTATTTTAAACATTTAACCACCCCCATAACTAATCATTTTAAACGGGATTAAATAAGTAGGAGACGAGACACAGTATTTTGCCATCCCTAACTATATACTAACTAAATTACTATCCTCGATTGGTATATTGAAAGATACATATACACATTTTGTACCGAAAATGAAAATTAAATCACAACTCTATTAAAATTAGGAATTAATGTATAGTTTAAGAAGGTGCCTCCCTATCTGATTTTAAGTTCCTATAGGAGTTGTATTTTGTAATTAGTATAAAATTCTTTTCCCTTTTTAGATTTGTTTTTCCTAAATTATTTTTAAATAGGGTAAATTGCACTAACACCCTCCACCCTATCAAATTTTAAGTTCCTATAGGAGTTGTATTTTGTAATTAGTATAAAATGTTTTCCCTTTTTAGATTTGTTTTTCCTAAATTATTTTTAAATAGGGTAAATTGCACTAACACCCTCCTCCACGTTTGGGTTAAAAACTAGGGGTGTTCAAAAAATCCAGTAAACCGAAAAACTGGACCGGACCGTACTAAATTGGGCAATTTGAGCTAGTTGTATAGCAGTTTGGTTTGGTCCTGGACCCAAAATTATGGAACTGTAATTTTTCGGTTCGGTCCTGATTTAGGGTCGTGCTGGACTGGACCAGCCCAGACCGAACTGTTACTATATTATATAATATATATATATATATATATATATATATATATATATATATATATAATGTATATCATATCCTAAACCTAAATGAAGTAAAATTCTCAAGTATCCCTTTCTTTATTTTGTTTTTTAAATTCTTTAAATTTCTTTTTTAAAAAGTCAAATTTACTTTTTCAAATATATCTCAATTTCCTTTCCTTTTAAATATATCTCAATTTTCTTTCCTTTCAAATATATCTCAATTTTATTTCCTTTTTTTAATCTTAAAATTCTTATTTTTTTGTTAGTTGATTTTTTTTTTTTTTTTTTTTTTTTTTTTTTTTTTTTTTCACTTTGCCCCCTCTAAATTAAAATAAAATAAAAAAGAAATCAATTGAAACCGACAAACCGAACCAAACCGAACCGGTTTTTCGCGGTTTGGTTTGGTTTGGTTCCTTTGACATTATAGTTCGGTCTGGTTTCAAAAATAGTAGAACCGTTATAAATAGTTTGGTCCCAAAATATTTCCAATCCGGTCCAAACCGGACTATGTGCAACTCTATTAAAAACAGTCATTTATAACTTAAGCACTTTTTAAACAATGATACTCCCCAGATATGGTAAAATGAATAAAGACACCCAACCATGATAAAATATACGTACTTACCCTTTGACTTCTGAATTAACCCATATGAATTATTAAATTACCTTTATAACCTCTTATTAATTGACCAAAATGGCCCTCAAGAATGAAAAAGCAAATATGATTTTATTGTGACATACTTTCTTTTTATTTTTTCTTTATTTTTGTAGAAGAAAAATGTAACATGTTGTGTAAGTAATGTTTTAGTAAACACTAAAAAATAAAAAAGATTAGCTTTGTGTGTGATTACTTAAAGGTGATATTTAATATTTGAATATTAAAAATGGTCTTTTAATATTTAATACAATACTACATAATAATAATAAAATATATATTTAAAAATTATAGTTCTTACTTTTTGAGATGGAAAGTCGGAATTTTGTCTTAGAAATTTGTTAAATCCCAATTAAAAATTCTTGTCATATGGTGTTGGGCGGCCACAATGATGGAGGTTTTTTTTTTTTTTTTTTTTTTTTTTTTTTTTTTTTTTGTGGACTAAAGGTCATTTTGGTTAAATGAAATAACTTATAAAGGTTAATATTGTACTTTAATGATTTAAATGTGTCAATTTAAAAATGAAAGGGTAATTACATACTCTTATAGTAGTTGAGAGTGTTGTTATTCAAGTTTTTATACTAAAGAATAATTAGATCACACCCATCTCTAAATTGCATCTGCCCATCTTTATACCAAACATCAGGTGTGTGAGTTACCCTTTTAAATAATTGAACCAATTTCTTTCCTCCCATTTTCCTTTTCTCATCTTTCCAAATTCCTGTCAAACTAATCTCTCTTTCCTTTCCCTCCATCATTCTTTTCCCCTTTCCTCCCAACCAAACAAAAACCAAAAAGTTTATTTGGGTCGCAGCTTGCAGAGAAATGACTGAATCTCCTCCTCAGAGCATATGAAAATGGAGGTCGATCGTGAAGCCGCTTCTGAAGGCAAGCTATTGTTTAGCATCATCATCTAAGGGTTTCAAATAGTGATCAATTTTACTGATTGAAGCCAATACCTCTTTTTTTTCTTGTTTATCTGTGTGTATTGATATAGGCCAAGAGAAGCAGAGAAAGGACATCGTGGTGATATTAGTGGGTGCACCTGGTAGTGGCAAATCCACATTCTGTGACCATGTCATGCGAGTTGCTACCCGACCCTGGGTTCGTGTCTGCCAGGTTGGGCTCTCTCTTTGTTTACGTACATATTCACGCACGCATACACATTTATGTATATATGTATCGGTATGTCACTTTTTGTAGGACTGCGTTTGTCTCTTTATCTCTGTGTATGATTTCTTTTTATATGTGAACACCACCTATTCGATAAAATGTTTAATTGAAAATGAAAATCAATGGATTTATTGTGAATGCGTAAGGTTTTGGGCATTATGGATACTTCCATAATGAATTTGTGGTGAATGCATAAGATTTTGGGCAATATTGATACTTTCATAATAGACACATGAATTTCCCTTTTTGTTTCCTTTTGTTTTTAAAGGGTAACCTCCAAGATGTTGAATAAAGTCTGGAGATTAGTTTTTGATGAAAAACTATGCCGAATGACTGAACTGAAACAAATTGGCTATTATCGGAATTTTTTCTTCAGTTTTATTTAATTGGTTTGAGTAGCATTTCTCTAAAAGATTTTGGTGCTTCTTATTAGACCTTTGTACCTTGACATTCCTCGGCCAAGTGTTAGATAGCTATTTTGCTAGGCTTCCCCTCATGTTGATCAGTAGCGGCTTATTTTCTTGATGTTGGGATTATCAATTGCATATCTGTGCCAGTGGGCTGCATGGGCAGTGGCTATAATGTTGGGGTGGTTATAATGTTTATGTGTCACCCAACAAGTGCTTGAATTGATAATGTTTGACCCCAATAATTAGGGGAAAAAAAAACCTCTGCTGAATTGAGTTATGTAACATATTTTGATTGTAACCTTGGTATTGAAAGGTCCGGACACAAATAAAGTTGTAATGTCAGATCTCCATGACTTGATTTTGTAGACTTTGAATGAAGTTGCACTGATTTTAGTGCTTTATGGTATTTCTTTGATGGGCTTTTCTTATCTGTGTTCAAATACTTCTAGCTTGTGTAAGTAAGATAAGTCTTGGTAATCATTTTATAAAGTATGACATACAGTCCAGAGAAAAATTCAAAGACCAAACAGTTGCATTTGGTACTTGTGAATATAGTGTACTCCCCATATTATTTTTTGGTCGGTTGAATCTCTTTGCTCCTCTTTCAGGACACTATTGGAAATGGTAAATCTGGAACAAAGACTCAGTGCCTGATGAGTGCAGCCAGTGCATTGAAAGATGGAAAAAGTGTATTTATAGACAGATGCAATCTAGACCAAGAACAGCGTGTAGACTTTGTGAAGCTTGGTGGACCGCTCGTAGATGTGCACGCTGTTGTGCTTGATCTTCCAGCCAAGCTCTGTATTTCTCGGTCTGTAAAGCGGACAGGTCATGAAGGAAACTTGCAAGGCGGAAAAGCTGCAGCAGTTGTGAACCGAATGCTCCAAAAGAAGGAATTGCCTAAGCTGAGTGAAGGATTCTCTAGGATCACATTTTGCCAGAATGTAAGTGATGTTCAAGTTGCCATCAGTACATACAGTGCACTTGGTCCATTGGATACCCTTCCATCTGGCTCTTTTGGCCAGAAGAACCAAAACGCCAAAATTCAACTTGGCATAATGAAGTTCCTAAAGAAAGTGGATGCCCCTGTTTATGCAGGATCTGGTGCAAATATCTCTCAGAATTCTACTGGTGATCAAATTGACAAGGATCCCTGCAATAGAGGACTGGAAATTGATTCTTCCTCATCAGTTAATGCTGGTAAGGATGTAATGGATTGTGAAGACCGAGCAGTGGCATCTGTTGTTGGTAGTGCTTCTTTGGACAATGTTCCCACTTTGGCATTTCCATCTATTTCAACTGCAGATTTCCAATTCAACCTTGAGAAGGCATCCGATATTATTGTTGAGAAAGTTGAGGAATTTGTGAATAGATTTGGAAATGTTAGACTTGTTTTGGTAGACTTGTCTCATGGATCAAAGATATTGTCTTTGGTTAGGGCCAAAGCTGTGCCAAAAAATATTGACTCCAGTAAGTTCCTCACTTTTGTGGGAGATATAACTCGACTATATTCAGAAGGAGGTTTGCGGTGCAATGTAATAGCTAATGCTGCTAACTGGTAAGCTTCCATAGGATACTTGTATATTAAAATCCTTCGTGAAGTGTTTATCTGTGTGATAAAAGTAAGAAACTCTCAACTCCTGACTCAAGAAGAAATGTTATTGATTAAATTCAAGTAACCGACAATTCCATCTTCTTCTTCTTCTTTGGAATTACATTAAAATTTTGGGATCACATTCAGTCAATCAGTAGTGATCATTATAAGCATCATATCTTAAAGGCTCGAACTTGCAATTGTCTTATGATGTTTAAGCAGGATGGCCTTCGTGAAAGCTGTATATAGGCTATTTGATCCTGCTGGTTTCTGAACCCATATAAGACTCTTCGTATCTGTGTTTAATCTTAGAAGTTTGTACGATATAATGTGAAAATCAATATTTTTTTAGTGATATAAATGTGAAAATTATGAGTTTTACTCCTTAGATATTATTTGGTTGATACTGAACTCGAGCATTTTTTTTTTTTGGTCGACGGTGGTGGTTTAGAGCCTCTTAGAGCACCCCATAATCCACCACCGGGCATATGCAATTCCCCGTCCCACATGCACCGCATGGGGGTAGCCCCAAAGGATTCAAACTTCCGTCCTCCAGGTAGTGAGGTCAAAGTCTTTGCCATTAGGCTATCCCCTTTGGTTGAACTAGAGTTATAATGCTATGCAAATTTTTTTGTCCAGAGGACGATTTTACCTTAGAATATGTCAGTCTATCAATGTTGAAAACATTAAAAACCTTCTGGTTAGTTAATTCCTTTTTCTGATTGTACTGTAGCGGAGGTTTATAATTTTTCCGGAATATTTATCTTGTTGGATGAATGTCAAATTAATTTACTCAATATGGAATATGTACAATCCTGGCTACATATTGACCCACTTAAGGAACACTTGAGAATGGAAACTATCTGCTTTGTTGTACTGTCACTGCTGGAGTGAAATATTAGACTGCATAAATTTGTATTTATATGTACAAGTCAGGAATATTAACTGAAGATAACTTTGTGCAGGCGACTAAAACCTGGAGGGGGAGGTGTGAATGCTGCTGTATTCAGTGCTGCAGGTCCAGCACTAGAGATTGCAACCAAGGAACAAGCTCAATCTCTTATCCCAGGAAAAGCTGTGGTTGTCCCTCTTCCTTCAACCTCTCCCTTATTTAGTCGGGAAGGGGTAACCCATGTCATACATGTTCTTGGACCAAACATGAACCCACAAAGACCAAATTGCCTCAGCAATGACTACATTAAGGGTTGCAAAGTTCTTCGCGAGGCTTACTCATCTTTGTTTGAAGGTTTTGCATCTATAGTGAGGAGCCAAGAAAAGTTATCCAAGAAAAGCACTGAGAAACTTGGTTCAAGGCTTTTAGAATCACAAGATAATTTTGAGATAAATCCTGTGAATCAATATCCAAACACTGATCAAAAGATGAAGAGAGAGGATTTCTCCGAATCTAGAAGGAACAAAAAGTACAAGGGATCTCAGGATGAACTTGCTACTGATTCTAAAGATGAAAAGAATAACCCATGCGAGGATAAGATTAATGGGAACACATCCAAGGCCTGGGGTTCTTGGGCTCAGTCTCTTTACCACGTTGCCATGCATCCTCAGAGGCATAAGAATGATGTGATAGAGGATTCTGAGGATGTTGTTGTACTGAATGACCTTTATCCAAAGGTAATAAACCCCCCTCTACCTATGTGTCTTACATCTTAAATTTTGAACTTAAGGGAAACTAAATCCCAATACACTTTGTAGGCACAAAGGCACCTTCTGGTTTTGGCACGATCTGAAGGTCTTGATAGTCTCGCAAATGTATGTAAAGAAGACCTTCAGTTATTGAGGACAATGCATGCTGTTGGCTTGAAGTGGGCTGAGAAGTTCTTCTGTGAGGATGAATCATTGGTCTTCCGCTTTGGATACCACTCAGTATGTGGTACCTATGCTCAAATTATTTGTTAATGTTATTTCTTTATTTTTTAATTTAATATTTATATATTGCTCTGATCGATCGTTTAAGATCCAAGTTACTAGAAACCACTGCTACCCTAGCAGTATTTCTCTTAGCATTAACATTCCGAAAAAAAAAAAAAAAAGAAAAAAAAAAAAGAGGAGGTACACTCACCATTCCAAATCAATAAATTTTAGAAATCCGTTCTCATGCCTCCCTACTTGGTGTTGTATTATAACTCTTAGAAATGGCTAGTTATAAATGAGGAGCTTGGTGGGAGCAATGTCACTCCACACTTCATATAGGCTTCCCAACCACTTGATAGAAAATTACAGAATCACCAAAAATACCCATTCCTACAGATTTCTCCAAATCTATATAATTATCTATAATAACATTGACTTGCATACAATGGCAATTTGCATGGGAAACCAGAAAAAGAAAAAATAATGCAGTGCAGGAAGGAGAACCATAGATAAATAGAGAAGAAAAAACACCACCATAAACATCAAGCATCATGTTTGATCTTCCTATACATTTTTTTAAATGATCCAATCGTTATTAATTTTTTTGAATTGCACTTCATTGTAAATTTCACGGTTCCTGAAAACAAACAAGAACAATTTAGAATGTTACCTTGACAGAGGCTTATCGTCCCAAATATACAAAGATCCAGTTTTACCAATACAGTATGTTGAGTTGAGGACATAATATTACATTAAAGGCTATCAAGTCTTTTCGTACAAACTTAATCCATGTTCTTCTGGGACTTCTTCTCTATGGTACCAACTGTAAACATATCACTGTTTACTGAGTCCAGCTTTTGGCTGTTGACCAAAACCAAATTTTGTCAGCTGATCTCAGCGGTAGCTGGGGCTTTTCCCACAGAAATTGTCCTTACTATTACACTGTTGTGGAGCCCCTAATTCAATTCAAAGGTTATTCATACCTTGTCAAGTGAATTCAAAGTTGATGTTCTATTCATCCTGTTCCTGTTATCACTGATTTGATCCATATCTTAGTCTGAACCTTAGTTTCACAAAATGAAACCTGGTCAGCTAACTCTTATCATTTAGCCCTTAGTACCATCTTTAGCTCTAACACACTCATTTCTAAGTCTCTGTGTCTTTGTCTATGAAACGAATCATGTAATGAGCCCTACAAATCTTAATCCTTTTACATAAACTGTCTTAAGCTCAAACAAGAGAGTGGTTGCATTACTGCTAGACCCCAATACTTCAGAAATTTCTAGTATGGAAATTTTATTACCATCTCAAAGCAAGGTTATAAGATTGCTTTCCTCTTAAGCTTGTGGAATTGTGTTACTTCTTACAGGTCCCTTCAATGCGGCAACTGCACCTTCATGTTATTAGTCAGGACTTCAATTCAAAACATCTGAAGAATAAGAAGCACTGGAACTCGTTCAATTCTGCCTTCTTCCGTGATTCAGTGGATGTAATTGAAGAAATCAGTAAACGTGGCAAAGTGACTCTAAAAGATGATGATAGCCTATTGTCAATGGAGTTGCGTTGCCACCGATGCAGAAGTGCACACCCTAACATACCACGTCTCAAATCACATATTAGCAACTGCCAGGCTCCCTTCCCTGCTTTTCTACTTCAAAATGGTCGTCTGGTGCATGCAGCAAGTAAAGATGGCACTGATCTGTAGGTATTTACAGCTTATCTTCAAGATTTTGTGCTGCTGTATATAATTTTGAGTCATGCTCATTGTTAGTGAACCCTTGTATGTTATCAATCATGTAATACAGTTTCTGCCCTTGATCATGAATCATGAGTTTGTGCTAAAGAATGAATTAGGTGGACATGTTTTGATGCATATCTATTAAGTAAAACTTTTTTCCAAATTGCAATATTTCTTTCTGGAAGTGATTCCCATGTGGACAATGGAATCCAAGGGATTGGATTACTATTAAGTATCTCAAGTGGGAAGTGATATGCATATTAAATGACTTGTGGCTTTTACCGTGAATCTTCAATTTGAAAGGTGAATTAAGTTTTTTTTTTTCCTGGACTTACAATGATGATGGGTTTTGCTTGTGAGGAGCGATGTGTAAATAAGCGCATTTTCCTTGATTATAAAAAATAATTGCTTTCTATTGGTAGGATATTATCCAATAATTATCAACAAGTCAGTGATCTAGTGGTCTAGCGGTATCAGGCTCTTACTTTTAAAAAAAAAACATACTACATATTATCTAATAATTTTTGTTGTTTTTGTTGACTCAGGAACTAGAATGTAGAATATACTTTTTTTTTTTTTTTTTTTTTGAAAGTTAATGTAGAATATACTTTCCTAGTTACAACATGTCAAGTTAATTTCTCAGGTGGATGTTACCTTTGAATTTGCAACTTTCAAAGGTAACATCCAATGTTTGCCATAAGGTCAACATGCATTATCATTTCATATACACGGACATGTGCTCAAAGAAATCTGTTTCGAGTGGATGGAGAGAGAACCAAAGGAGGGTCCCTCTCCTACACAAACTTCAGAAACTAGGTTAAAGTAACTGTCATTTTCATGACTCTCCTTCACACAATTTGAGCGAGCTTCTTTTTCATGACTGATATTTATGCTCTCTCTCCCACACATCCACCGGAATGTTAGATGGAAAGTAAGAGGGACTAGTGATAGAGAGTAATCAGCGATGCTACTCTAAGTTACACCCCCTGGATATGATTTAAGCTATAGGATCTCATTTCAAACATTTATGTAAAAATAAACTACTCTAGCGAAAAGTTCTTAGATATGTTTTAAGCTATATAGGACCTAATTTCAAACATATGTGAAAATATTTATAAGTCTGTGTGTTTAAGTCGGTGTACCTTCAGATATGTTCGAAATGGAATAACCAGATTTTTCAAACCTATTTGTTAGGGCATTTATTAAACTCAACCACAAATCAGTCATCCTCATGAATTATTGTGTCAACAGGCGTGATTATTGAGGATGTGCTTCCCTCAGCCATTCTTTTTTCTTTTATTTTTTTAAGACAGCAAAATAAACAACCGACAACTAGAGAACAGGATGTAGAATATACTTTCCTAGTTACAGCATGCCAAGTTTATTTATGTTCAGTGTATACGCCATGTGCTGAAAGAAGATAGGAGACACTCCAAAAAAAAAAAATTCCCGGATGTTTACCTTTTGCAACTTTGAAAGATAACTATCAAATTTGTATGCGGAAGCAAATTTTATGGTGGTATCTATTTTTTGCCATAAGGTCTATGTATCATCATTTCATTTACATGGACCTTTCGGTCTCATGTAATTGCTCAAAGAAATCTGTGTCGAGTGGATGGAGAAAACCTTCACTGTTAATCTTTTTTGGGATGAGCTTTGCTAGCTACCAGTCTATCGCCTATTTTGATTAACTAGAATCAGCCCACAGTCGCTATCGCCTATTTTGATTAATTAGAATAAGCCCACATAAGCATGCGCACATGAAGCTATATATATATATATTTTAATTCTCTTATTTTAAGAGACACACTTGAAAAAGGAGTATTGATTTCCTGAACTGATTATTGCATATATATATATATATATATATATATATATATATATATTTTTGCATCATCACCAAACTCAGTCCATAGAATTTTTATTTTTATTTTTCTCATCTCCAAATTCAGTCTAATAGAATATATATATATTTATTTTCCTCATTATTACCAAACTCAGCCCAATATAATTTATTTATTTATTTATTTTTGTCAAATCATCACCAAACCCAGCATTTTTTTTTTTTTCCCCTCATCATCTCCAGGCTCAGTGACTTCCTCTCTTTCTGTGTCTCTTAAAATAAGAGAATTTAAGAAAAAAAAAAAATAATAAAAAAACGCCCCATGTGAGCATGCTTCCGTGATTTGATTCTAGCTATTTTATTTTTTGGTGTGTGACTGTTGCTGGCAAAGCTCTTTTGAAATTATTAGACCAAAGGAGGGTCCCTCTCCTACCCAAACTTCAGAAACTATGCTAAAATAGCCGTCATTTTCATGCCTCTCCTTCACACAATTTGAGCTGCACTTTTATGCCTGATAATTATGCTCTCCGAACACATCCACGAGAATGTTAGATGGAAAGAGTAAAGCAAAAGAGTTACTAAACACAGTGATTGGCAATGCTACTCTATGTTACACCCCTGAGATATGTTTTAAGCTATAGGATCTCGTTTCAAACATATGTAAAAATAAATAGGCCGTGTGTTTAAGTCTACCTTTAGATATGTTTGAAATGGAATAAGCAGATTTCTCAAACCTATTTGTTAGGGCATTTATGAAACTCAACCACAAATCAGTCGTCCTCATGAATTATTCTCTCAACAGGTGTGACCATTGAGGATGTGCTTCCATCCGCCATTCTTTTTTCTTTTCTTTTTTTTTTTTTTAAGACGGCAAAAGAAACAACTGACAACTAGAGAAATAGGGCTCGCTTCACATACCAAAGCCTCCTCCATCCGCCATTTTTTTTTTTTTTATTTGGGAAGATAAAAGCATTTTGTAAAGTATAACCATCAATACTAAGAGGCAGGGGAAAAAAATAATAGTACTCCGCAGTGCAAAAGCCAAAGAAAATGAAGCAAAAAATCAGTAGATATTAAAAGACACAAAATATTCACGTGGTCCAGTAATACTCGGGCAGAAAACGAAAATCACGCAAAAGGACTTCAAGGAAACAAAACTACAAGCATGTTGACGAAGGAAGCATAAAATGTGGTGTTCTATTCATCAGTAACCGTTTCTCCGCATAATCTAAATAATTTACTGAGGGTTAGGTGGGCGGCTATTAGCAGCAGAGACCCTGGAGCCCCATTCAAGCAGCTCTTTGCTTGTATCATCCTTGTGAACAATCACTTCTATGAAGCAAAAGCAATCTTTTTTCGCGCCTGTTGCTGTCTCAATTGCTTCAATGAGCTCCTCCTCATAACGAACCTGCAATGTTTAAGATTCAAAAAGTGGGTTTCACGATCAGCAATCGTCCCATTTGGATTTTATGCATTACAGCCAACACAATGTGCTTCATGACTCACCTTAGTTGTCCAGCATTTGCCTTCACCATTGTGAATTGCATCAACCAACCCGGTGTAGTTCCAGTTTTTGATCACGTTGTAAGGCCCATCATGGATCTCAACTTCTATGGTGTACCCACCATTGTTTATCAGGAAGATGATGGTCTTCTGTCCACATCGCAGCATCGTTGACACATCTTGTGCGGTCACCTGCCAAGCATTCACCAATTAGGGCATAAATGCATTCATAAATGTAGGGAATTTAGAAAGTGGTGGGCAATTTGTGATTTAGCATTCACCCACTGGTATAACCTCTCCTCCCTCAAAAGGGGAGGTGAGGGGTTCGAGCCGATAGTGGACAATTTGTGAAATGTGTGTGAGTACTTACCTAACCAAAAAGAACACACACATATATAGGAGATTTAAGAATGTGGAACTGCCATTTGTGTTGCCCATTCAACTTATTAACGAGCAAAGGGAGTTATTATGGTTGCAGAGGATATTTATGAACAAATGAAGGGGCAAAAGTATAGGAATCAACGTGTGGAGTAAAAACAGCACTACCCATCAACAAAAAATTGAGAATTGTTACAGCAAATTTGAGAAAATTCCAGAAAATTTGAGGACTTGAAAGGATTAAAAATTAATTTGAAAGGAAAAGGCAAAATATGACTTGCTAAGCTTAAGGTCTGTACTTAAAGAATACAAGAAGTATGGATAAGTCATTCGATGGGTTTTAGATGATCAGAAAGCTTATAGCACATATTTAAATAGGAAGAATCCTATGATAGCATAAGATTCCAAAGCTAAATTGTGAACACTAGAGATTTTGCAGCTAAATAAGAAACATGTATATATATACCTGGAAACTACCGTCACCAATGCAAGCAATCACTCGCTTATTAGATGCAGCCTGAGCATAACCAAGAGTGGCACCAACTGACCAACCAATTGACCCGTATTGCATCTGAAATTCATACCTGCATATGCAATTTCACAATCCCTGTGAACATCATAATGTGCAACAGGAAACTAACTATCAAATACTATACACACTCTCCATCACTTACCCACATCCCTGTGGCAGTTTCAGCTTCTGGCAGTTGAACCATGAATCCCCTGTCTCGGCAATCACAGCTGTGTCACCAGACAGCATGTTCTGTATATGTTGGAACAGAACATTCACCCTCAAGGGTTCTTTAGGCTCACACTTCAGAGGATGTCCCTCGGGAACGTAGATCCTGTGATAATTTTCGTAAGCAGTAGTGTTCTTCTTCAGCCTCTTCGCGAGTGCACTCAAGAAATCCTTCATCAAAATACACCCAAATGAAGGCCCATTTCCGACTGTAACACGATCGGGCTGCACTATGATTGCCTTCTCCTTTTTTAGAAGCAAGGAGTATCCAACAGAGCTGTAGTCATTAAATATGGGGCCAGCAAACAAGTAAGCATCAGCGGACTCCACAATTTCAGCACAAAAGGCCGTGCTCACCGCCCCCCAGTAAGTCCCTATGAAATGGGGATGGTGCTCCGGCACTAACCCTTTCGCTGATGGCATTGCCGCCAACGCATAACCTGAAGCATCAGCTAATTCAACAAAGGCCTCGCATGCCTGTGCAACCCGCAGTTTAGGCCCACCCACTATCACTGGCTTCACTGCCTTGTTCAAGAACTCTGCTGCTGCCTCCACTGCTACTTCCAAACCGATCTGATTACTCACTCTGTATCATAAAATTTACAATCACTACAATTTGGATCACTACCCACATTCATAATCTAAAACCAAAATAACAGCTATTCTATATGCAATCCATCGAATTACCCACTCAGTATCACAAAAATCACGGTAACTATAAATTGAATATAACTGTAGTTATATAGGCAACTCATTTGATTACTCATTCTGAATAGCAAAAATCACAATTACTACAAATTGAAACTCTAGCCATAATTCATAATCAAAGAGTTGTATTTAATAGTATAGAATATATATATATATATATATATATATATATATAGAATTGCAAGAATATCAAGGTTACCTGGGTGAGAGAGAGAATGGAACTGGCTCACGGCTAAAGGTAGGATGTGGAATCGCCGGCAAGTTACAGCTTATGCTGATATAAACAGGCTTGCTTTCTTTCAACGAAGTGGAAATCGCAGTATCGATCAGTTCATGTGCATCTTCCAAGTTATTCACAACAGCCTAAAATAAACAAATCGCTAAGTATTCGCTAAAACCCAAAAACAAATAAATACATATATGCCTAAAATCAACAAATCCCTAAGCATTCACTACAACCCAGAAACACACACACATATAGAAACACAGAGAGAAACACAAGTGATTATACTAACTTGGAAGCAAGTAACAGTTTGGAAGCATCGAAGCTCTTGGCTAAAATCGGGCACTCCGATAGTGTGGTGAAGAATTCTGTTGGTACCGTAATCATTGGAATTGGGTCCACCGACAATACAAATGAGGGGTAGATTCTCACTGTAAGCTCCGGCGATAGCGTTGAGAACGCTGAGGCCACCGACGGTGAAGGTGACAACGCAGGCGCCGACGCCGCGAGACCGGGCGTATCCGTCGGCAGCGTAGCCGGCGTTGAGCTCGTTGCAACAGCCGATGAGGTTGAGACCTGGCTCGGCGATGAGATGGTCAAGGAGAGTGAGGTTGAAGTCGCCGGGGACGGAGAAGACATCGGTCACGCCGACCTGGACAAGTCGGCGCGCAAGGTGGCGACCCAGTGTAGCATCGGTGGGCCCGACGACGGCGGTGGAGGCGTGCAGGATACTGGAAACGACACCGTTGTCCGGTAGGACGCCCATGTCGTTGCATGCTGGCTTGCACGAGTCCAATGCACCGATCTTAGTATCCATTGCCGATGAGTGAAATCAAAGGGGTAGAAGTAGAGAGAGAAAGTTGGGAGAGGGAATTTAAGACTGAATGGACTTTGTTTTGTGACTGTGAGTGGGGAGAGAGGAAAGAAAATGGTGGGAATTTATAAAGATTTGGGGGAAGAGTGGAGAAGAAACAAGGGGCGGTTTTGTTTTGGGGACTCGATGATGGAAAGCGGTGGATTCGTGATCTGTCCCTCTATATATGATTATATATATACAATTATACATATATTTAAGAATATATATACGTTACAATGTATATATACCACTCTATTTAGCACATTTTTGGGAGATTAGCCAGCGAAGAGTCTAGAAAATGTCGTGCAAGTAATGTGTACTGTATAAGTGTATGATTTGTATTGTATCGTTTGATGGTAAAGGGAATGGCCAAAAACCAACGACCAAATAGTTGACCAATCATTAGCAGGGTAGTAGACATCAAAGGCAATTTCAATTTTACTTTTGTATGTTTGGATGCGGGCAGTACCTAGGTGCTGCGATGCAGCCGACGGTTCACAATATGTAGCAAGTGCCATGAAGCATCTTATGTGGTCATGCAAAGAGTGATCAACATTTAAGATCCTTATATTGGATGGTTCAATTAAGATCCTTATATTGGATGGTTCAATACGTATGTGTCATGAAGCATCAAAGGATGATGAATATCCAAAAACTTTGCATCGGATGGTTCACAATTTTTATATACGTATATGATTATACATATATAATATCATACATTATTTTATACGCACATGAAAAATTGAAAATGATGTTCAACCATAAATACCCTTTCAAGATAGGACGAAGCAAAGAGGCTACCAATTTTGTTTTGAAATTTGTTTCTTAATAATTTTACTATAGAGTTTAAAAAACTTACTTGTAAATTTGTAATCCCTCAAAAATTCACTACCACCCTTTTATTGTTACTTTAGAATGTTCAAATCTAGTGAAAGAAAAATTATTTTTGGTTATAGTGGTAGTCCTTACAACAACTTATCAATACAATATTCAAATATTTTTATAGTCCAAAAAAAATTATCATATTTTTCTTGTTGGTCTGTTCCAAAATAGTTATCCACTCTCCTTATTCAAATAATATATTTTACATCTTTCCATATATGTTCTTGTAGTTTAAAATTTCAAATTTGAATATAAGGACAAATTAGTAACTTTTCAAGGAAAGAATGTATGTCTCACATGTTTTCTTAAAAATTCCTACTCCCCAAAATGACATCTAAATTAAGACCGAAGGAGTATATAACACCTATAATCTATATGAATTTAAGACAGAAAAAAAATTATTTTTCCTTTTGGCCTTTTTGTAATAGTTTCTTCATGTTAATTATTTAAGAAGTTCATTCTAATTTTTTAGGTTATAAGTTTATCATTCTTTAGATTATATTAAAAATAGTAAAAAAATCTATGATATATATGGGAGTGCTCTCACTAAATTTGTGCACTTCTATCATTGAGCTACAAGGTTATGAAGATTATCCTCTCAATTTAACAGTTACAGTGATTCAAAATGATAGACATGTTGACAATAATCTATATTTAAATTTATATATTTTTAAATATATATATATATATATATATATATATATATTATAAATTTTTATTTTTTAAATATTTTTATTTATATAGCACTTTGCCCCCAATCAATTATTTCTGGCTCCGCCCTATTTCAATTGAAATAAAGTTATTTTCTTTTTTATTATTAATTTTTAATATTGATTTTGTTATTTTTCTTATCATTTAGTGGTAATTTACTCGTAAAATCTTTCAAATGGTGGCAATGTCACAAGTTTTGATACGATTATCAAGAGAATATTTGCATGATCAATAGAAATAATATAAATACGAGCTGTGTATGTATAGACCGACACAATATTTTATTTTACCACTCTTATAATTGGCTAAATCGAATCATTTATTTTAACAATAAGAATAACATGTTTTCCTGACCTACCCTAGATAAAACATTCGTTGAGTGATGAATAAGCAGCCTTTGGACACAGTGGAAAAAACGAAAGAGCATAAAATATTCACAGGCTGGTAAAACAGGAGGTCAAATGCTAGGAGACAATGGTCACACACATGGATCTTATTATTTAAAAAGTAAAATACAATGAATACTACATGCCAAACAAGTCAATCGTGGCCAGTGGCCTATTCAGGTCTCACTTGGCTGTAACCTGATTTTTAAACTTATGTTGTTTCAAGTTCCGCAGAAAATGGATTCCATTTCCACTGCCGAAAACTACGCGGCAACGATCGACGTCGTTTTTAGTGAAAACCACTGGTAAATTATTTACATTTCACTAATCCACTGGTTTTACAAAACTGTATAAGAATCCCTGGTAGATCACATCACGAGATTCACGGACATGTGGGTCCCACAAGCTGTGTGGTCAACCTAGGCCCGTTGATCGTTGACACGTAATGATCATTAAGTGGCGTGGACAAATGCGACGATAATTAGTGGCAGGGACAGGTTGGACGCGGTTAGTAAACATATGGTGTTCCGTAGACCACGATAGATTTTGTGGTCTGTTCGGTTGAAGGTGCGAGATTGGCGGATAAAATCAGACCCAGTGAAAGTAGAAAACCAAGGAGAGTGCGTTGTGGATATTACACCCTATGTGTTCACACCATCCGATTTTCCAAACGAACTTGCTATACAACGATAACACGTGTCTTTTCTTATCCCCAATTCTTATGCTTTTCAAGGGATTATTTTAGATCGCAGAAATATCCCATTCTTGAGATTCAAGAAATTTACTTTTGATCATAAAATACATGTGACGATCACTTTGAATTTCACATTTACATAGGATCAATTGCAAACACGGTTAAATTATACACAGAGATATTTCGCATAAACAGTTCATTTGAAGTACACAAACCCCGTAAAAAAAAAAGTGTTGAGAGTGATATAATTTGAGCAATTCTAACTCGAAATTTAATAGAATTTCAGTTAGATTTTTACAAACTTAAACAATTATTTTTATAATTAGGGTTTGAATTTGAATTGAGGGGTCTAACCCAAGCCCAACCCAAATTCTAATACTATTTATATATATATATTTTTTATTTTAAGTATATTATATATAATATTCATTTTATAGTCGACTTTTTTTTTTTTAACTTCCTTTTTTTTTAAAATAATTAATTTTCTAAGAATTTATTTATAAGTCTTTTAAAAATTGTAAATTTTAATATATTTTTAAGTTAAAAACATAATAAATTTTCATTGTTAATTTTTTAATCTGAAATCTCAATCTGAGTTATAAACTCGAATTTAAAAATTCAAAAATAAATCAGGCTCATATTAAATAATCAAGATTGAAGATCGCGATCGCACCCGTGAAAATCAAGCAGAGTTAAAATTGAACTTGTTTATGTTGATTTAGACTTGAATCCTACCTCAAATTAAATTCTAATTATAACAAAACACTCAATAATACTCACTATAAATGAGGTTAGCTGCTCTAGTACATCATCTAATTAGTAAGTTAACATGATTAAATGAATAATCACTGTCGAACAACGGGTGATTTAGAGGAAAAGAGAGAAAAAATAAAAGAAATAATATAATTGCCCTTCTGATGAGAATTGGGTTTCCACAACACATTGTTGTTTAAGTGGGGCATTAATGGGCATCTTTCCCTTCTCTCTTACATTAAGAGTGCTTGCTATTTGCCCAACACGAGGGAAATTAAAATATTAAAATGGTTAGGTTGACCTCCGTCCATTTAAAAAGAAATAAATTTTAAATTATTATGCGCTAAGGTTGTCATGTGTTACACACACTCATTATTCTTTTATTTTCTATTGGGTTGTTAAACTTAGAATTCTTGGGATGGCAATTATTTTCAGCATCTATTAACTTCGTTTATAGCGTGTTATTCTTTTGTCTAAATTTATTACTAAAACCTAACTACCGGGGGTCGAGTCTTGTTTTTTGTCCCTAAGCACAAAGTGAATACAGAGAAAAGAAATAATATATAATAAAAATAGTATACAACACAATGTTTGAAATGAGGACATAATTAGAGAAAGCGGAAAAACCTGTCAATAAAGAATTTCCATAAATTTTATTTGTCTTTAATTTTACATTATCGACTCATCATGTTAGAAACAAGCACTATATGAGACTGTAACTCCCCACTACAAAAACCTCACCGGTCTCGAAGGATTTCCCATGGCCCCCTGCAAACATATCTCCTTAATGGAGACGAAGTAACATATCTTTCATATGGGCTGAGTCCAGCGCACAGCTCCTTCAAAAAAAATGTCTGGATGATCAACAAAAAAATGGCGCGCCCATACTTTGTTCTTTACATTAAATTCAGAAACCAAACAATTCAGTTTTGGTACCCCATTAGGTCTCTCGCTTGAGTGTGGGCCTCTGTCGAGTCTTGTTAAATTGTACATCCCCGCTAAGAACTGAACTGATAAACCTCTCTGCTTCCTCTGTAGTAATTTCACCCACAAAGGCTGCAAACTTCCCCTTCCGAGGTTTGTAGGCAACCAAAAGCTTTTCTATGGATTTGAATCCAGATTTGTCGAATGAGTTCAAAAAAGATAGCTGCTTGGTGGCGTCCAAAAGAGCATAGGAAATAGTATCCCTAGAGACGGAGGCTGCATTCTGTCGCCTCGACAGTGATTTCTGAGAGACCTAAAAACACAAATCATGCAGCAAATGAAAAACTTGGACTTAGTAGTTCAGCATTCAAAATGTAGCCTGACAATGACATCGATAATTTCAATCAAAAAAACATACTCTAAATAAGAGGCAAACACATATCTTTTTCCATAATTCGCTGTAATTATCATAAATTGTCTATTTAATCAATTAAAGAAACCGCTGATAACACCACATTCTCATATCAGATACTTGATCCGCTCATGGGAGAATCAAGAGATGATATTATAAGACCCAATGTAAAGTCGCTTCAACAAAATATGATGTTGTCGTAACTATATTGGCAGAAATTGATAAAATGTACCAACAGGCCTATGGCCTAGCGGTATCAGCCACTTACTTCCCAAAGGAAGGTCAATGATTCACGTCTCAGAAGAGACTGTGTGTGTGTGTGAGTACCAACTAGGAATTTTTTTTTTTTTTTTTTTTTTGATAAGATGTAGTATCTAACTTTTCACAGAATTCTCTTTATAATTTACAATCACCTGTCACACAATGGCAAGGAAGAATACATAGATACAAGGAGGTCAATATTACTGATGATTTCATTTTTTGTTTTCAGTTTTTCCTTATTTTAGAAACAAATGATTGAAAAACTAGAGCTGACTGATTCTCCCATTACCAATTCTGAATCATACTAACCAAGTTAAATCTTAACATTTAGGCTAAGAAAATATAAAGAAATATATACTCATTAGAAATTTCAAAGTAATGCAATTTCCAATTTCCAGAAAATCCACTAAATGTTCATATTTGACAGTTAATTTGCTATAAATTACAATCAACAAAAGCAAAGGTTGATCTCAATTAATATTTCTCACTAAGTTATCAGATAAATCAAAATTTAAAAAGATTTAAATTACCGATGATAGAATGTTTTCTAAACAAAAGCAAAGGTTGATCTCAATTACTATTTCTCACTAAGTTATCAGATAAATCAAAATTTAAAAAGATTTTACTTACCGATGATAGAATGCTTCCTAAACTGTCTCTTGCTCTGGATGACCTGAAAACACCAATAATGCAAACCGGAGTTGTCTCTCCACAAAGAACATCAAAATTAGACCCACTAAGCGGAGGTATCTTTTTGTCCACTGATTCAGCCTGCATTTTCTTAGCATGACCAGAAGCTGCCCTGTTCTTTTTCTCAAAACCATCAAGCAAGACACTAAAGTCATGGACTGCAGATTTCAAATCTTTCGTGGAAACTCCTGACCTCAATACATGGCTCTCTCCATTTGATAGCCAACCAACTATAGCTGGAAGCGCGTCAACGCCTAGCCTTCTCACCGCTGAATCAGAAACATCACGGACCTATGTAATGTCAAATTAGTGACATATTTGAAATGAACAGAGAAAACAACAAAACTTAAGACGCATCTAATTCATTTCACAATGAGGGACTTAAGATGTCAAATCAATTATCACAATGAAATCAGATTATATCGATCGTAACAATTAATATTCTTTTCAACAACGATTGGGCAAGCACATTGCCTGGACATTTCAAGTTACCAAAAGCATTCTGTTAACAGAAAAGAAAATATATATAGATATATGATGGAGACCACAGTTTTACCTCTGCATCGTAGAAGATAAAGCGCTTGTGATACAAGCCACTAAGAACACGCCAGATAACAGGGGTATCTTTCTTTGTAGTGAGAAGCATCACTTTAGGCAATGTGTCCACAGTACCACCAGAGAAATCGAAATGACTCAAGTCAACTCGCTTAGAAAACCTCGGCAAATGGTCTTGACAAAATGATCTTAAACTTCTCACAGCCAAATCACCACTATACTCTACCAAGGAACCACTTTCACTTGCTCTGTATGAATAAACAAACACTCTAGGTGCTTTACGAGGAATTATGCCAAGGTCTTTACAGAAAGTCATTTCAGTTTCACAATTTATGCTTCCAGCCTGTCAGAAAATAAATGATATAAGCATATGTTATAATCAGCACATATCCAACAGTAAGGGCACCTAAAATACACTAATACCTTTAATGCTCCTTGCAGTGAGCTGGCAACCTCTTCTACAATAGATTCATAATATTGGGTCCCCTTCAATGTTGGCGTATAGGATAATAAAAGCCAAGCGATCCCTTTATCAGCAACTTCCTTCCTATACAATTGTGCATTAACGGCATGGAGGCTCTTAGGAGAACTTCTAGACCCAGACTGAGACTTGGTCGAACTACTGAAACCATTGAACTTGCTCCCACCTCTCATATCACCCCCAAAGAAATTGGAAAAAATGTCATCTAAACCAAAACCAAATGAACTCTGGCCACCAGGGTTGCCAAAGGAAAACGAAAATGATTTTGAACTTCCATCCCCACCCATATTTTGCCATTCACTTGGCCTGCTGAAAGTAGACCCACTGTGTCCTGGCCCACCACTTGTGAAGTGGGCATATCCCCCTTGATCCCCAGGATTGCCAGTACCAAACCCAGGACTGGCCTTCTCATCCCCATATAGATCATAATTTTTTCTCTTCTCTTCATCAGATAATATATCATAAGCTGAGAACAGGTAAAAAAGAGTAACAATCAACATTTACAGCAAGAAGATATTAAATTTCTGTTACAAAAAATACAAAGAGCCATAATATTGCTTATCTAATCTTCACCATACTATTAGCAAAGTTCCGCATCCTCAAAGATACAACTCAAAAATAGGATAATAGAATATTTTAACAACTCACGTAAAAACACATGTTCAAACGCTAATGGAAGAATGACAATATGATAACTAGGATACACAATCCAACATTCAAAAATTTTAGATGCTGCAGACAGATTACTATATAACATTAAAGAAGAACCAAAAAACAAAAGGAAAATGCTCAGAAAGTAAAAGAAGCATTTAGTTCATCATACCATTATTAATCTCCGCAAACTTCTCTTGAGCACCCTTATTTTTGTTCTTGTCAGGATGATATTTGAGAGAGAGCCTGCAAAAGAGAATGGATAGAGCATGAGTTTTATCCATGAGTTATAGGTAAACATGTATGTTGAGAAACTAAAGCGCTGCCTTAATAGCATTTTGAATTTCAGACATTCAAGGCTAAGACTCTCAAAATAATGCATCAGATTGGTCATCAACTCCCGCCTATAGTTTTAAAATTCTAAAAATACTATTTTCTAATCATTAAACAACTATTTCAACATTAAAAGTCTAAAATCAATATTCAGAACAAATTTGGTCTATATAGTCAAACTTTTGCTTTAAATTTTCAAACCAAATCAATTAACAGTCACTAAATCATAAATTCCCACCCCAATAAAACCTAGGATTGCTTCCATGATTGTACTAGCCACCACGCCCCTCATCATCAACTCTTAAGAGTTGCCAATCTTAGGCCATGCTTAGCCACCATGTGGATAATGGGAAATGGAGTAGAACATTTAGCCCCTACAATTTTCAACCAAGGCCAGATTACAAATTTGAATAATTCCTGCCATTATGCAGAATAAATTCAACATAAAATATTATTTTTGTTTAACCTATGTGGGTCAAGGAAGTTGGTGACCTGATGACAAGGAGCTGTGCCCAAATTGTTACGCCTTTTGTGCAGGTCAGAACTTATCCAACAAGGAATTTCACTACCTTAGGACTGTTATAGTCATAGCCATTATGTAGAATATCGACAACAATATTAGTTTTGTTCAACCTTTGGGCATCCATATTTCTTTGGCCACCTCATTTATGTATATATATATTTTTAATTTTCCCATTACAATTCAGAGCCAAAAGTAAAATAAATAAGCATTTAAAGAAATCGATGTTCTTAGTTTATCACCTCAAAAGTATGTATAAAAGGAAGAGGGTCAAACAAGGTTAAAGACTAAAAAATATATAAAATGTGAAGATAAACATACTTGTGGAACGCTTTCTGAATTTCACGTTGGCTTGCATTCCGATCAACTCCAAGAACCTGATAAAATGGATGTTTTATGAGAAAGTTAAGGAAAAGATAAGTGCTAACAATAAGAATAAAACTAATTGAATACTAAATTTAACCATGAAAATTATTTAAAACGTGCAACAATTGACACAAATGAAAGCCGAAGCCCAAGATCAAATGAAGGATGCATCCTTAAGGATTTCAGTTTATTCCATAAATAATGAATTCCTAACTATCTACTATAAACTTTCTACTAGACATTTAATTCATATTATGAGATGAAAAGTCCAATTCTCAATCTATGATTTTCAAGGGGATGAAATCAAACATCACACGAAGGGGCTATTTACAAATAAACATCCTAACAAAGTTTACCCTTCTTTCTATATCATTGAACAAGAAAAGAATGCGAACATCTCAGTGGAGTCTTCAGCAACTTGTCCAATTTGTCTCAGGTTCTGCACAAACACAATTTTAGTATTCCCAATAATCTAGTACTCCAATTATATTTATAATCACATAACTTGTGCTTATTGAACCATATCTTACTAGCATTGTTTATAAATATGTCCTACACTGACTAGCGGAATTTCAAACTACACTCTACAGCTTCATTAAGTTGAAATTTGTGTTTTATCCAAACACTCCAAAGAAAAACTTATCATCCACCACCCATCTAACCCCCAGACACCACCACCTCCACCTCCACCTCCAATCTCTCAACCCCCAACTTAAAAAATAAACAAATAAAAATAGAATGAATACTACATACAATTCACAACAGAAATCAATTATTCAGTCTAAATTGCACAATGAATTGCCATCAATCACTATACAACCATACCCTCTAAATATAAAACAGCAATTATCCATTCCTTACAATAAATAAATAAATAAAGAGCACTAACAATTAATTGGAATTGTAATCAAATACTAATTGAAGCCAAACTCAGGCAATATATGTGTGCATGTATATATATAGAGAGAGAGAGAGACAGAGATTTACCTTGTAAGGATCGAGGGTTTTGGCGTGGATGGTAAATAAATAGAGCGATGCGACGAGGAAGAAGAACAATGTCCTACGGGTGTTCATACTCGGATTCGCAACGCTGATTGAAATGCTTCGGTGTTAGTGAATTCTTGATGGAACGAATTGCAAATCTGGAATATGTAGAAGGAAGAGAACGATTCAAAGGCAAAGCAATGGGAAGTTGTGATAATAGAGATTTGGCGGTGTGTGAACGATGTTTCTACCATCTTCTGGAAACTTGAAGGCTTTTAAACCCATAACGTCCCAAGCCACCAAAATATTTTATGAAAATTATAGACTGAAATTTGCTTGCGTGTTGAACTTTGATTCGTCAAGACTCGTCACGGAGAAATATAGTCCGGGACTTGGATGGTCTTCGTTAATCACAATGAACTTTGATTCGTCAAGACTCGTCACGGAGAAATATAGTCCGGGACTTGCATGCTCTTCGTCAATCACAATCTGACATTAAAATAATTTACTTGCACATTGGATTTTGATTGGTCAAGGTAATATGGTAATAAATTTCGTATTTTTGGTTATTCACTCTTGGTCTTGGGGCCATTTTTTTTTCATGGAATAATCCGAATTAAATTAGTTTACCGAATATTAATGGTTCAAAATTATTTAAGAAGTAATTTGCTTGCATTTTTGAGTTTTGACCGTTTAGATAATGTAATACTTTCTTCCTATACAAGATTAATGTAATAATTTCGTCAACACCTAAACAATTTGTTTTGTGTGTCGAGTTTTGATTAACCAAAGTCGTGTAATAATTTCTCTCAATTTAAAGCAATTAATTTATCTATCGAGTTTTGATTGGTCAAGAATATGTAATATTATGGCCCATGTCATGAAAAAATGTCTTACTCTTTAGGGTAAAGTATAAAGACACCCGAGATTTGGGGTAAGGCCATTCAAAGGAAAGTTTCTTATTTTTTGACGGTCACATCCCTTGTGAGATTTTTTAATCCAAACATAACCTTAAAATATATAAAAAGTCCACTTTATCCTTTATTATTTTATTTATTTTAATTATAAAATATCAAAATACTTAAATGACCAAATTACCCTTTTCATATATATATATATATACACACACAAACAACCACAGTAACCACCACCCCCAACCTCGACCTTGCCGGAGCTCTGCCACCGCCACCTCTGTACTTGCTAAACCCAAATGGAATTTATTCGAACCCAGCAAAACCCAACACAACCACCATCACTTCTGTACTTGCTAAACACAACTCACACCATCATCACAAACCCAAACCGAGCAAATGAACAAAAAACAAACCCTTCCCAAACCCACCACCAAACCTGCAACAAACCTCAAACCACCCTGCCAGCAAACCACCACCACACCTGAACCACTATCACGGACGACGACCTCAAACACAACACCAACAGATCCACTGCTTTGAGCTCCAATCAACCATCATTTCCAATTGAAACGTCCCTTCTCTTTCCATTTCTCTCGCCGTAGTTGCGGCCACCGCTTCAAGTCGATGAACCCTTGTCTTCACCGACACGAAATTTCATACGGCGACTTCGATCCGATGATGTTCCATGGCGGCATGTGTCGTCACCACCACCACCACCATGATGAAAGGTTCAAGCACCACGAGGTGGCGGCGGCGGAATCCGTCTGTCCCGACATTGATTCCTGTACCCCCACTCCTTCTATTGCCATCCATCTACGTCCTGCTCTCGTGCCTTTTTCCTCCTGTTGCCTTTTTCTTCAATGTATATGCAAAGAGAAAAGAGAGAAAAGGGGAGAGGGGTTTTTAGCTTTTTACACAGGCGGGTTGGGTTTGGGTTTGGGTTCGGGTTAGGGTTTAATTTAAGGGTATTTAAGTCAATTAAAATGGTAATTTTATATGAAAGGGTAATAAGGTTAATTCATCACCTTCAGGGTCTTTTTGTCCATTTTTCAAATTTAAAAGGGTGTCATTGTCCAAAAATAGGCAAACTTTCCTCTGCATGTGTTTTTACCCAAACCTCAGGGGGTGTTTTTATACTTTACCCTTCCTTATATAATTATAGTTTTTTTTTTTTTTTTGGTATATAATTATAGGTTGACATTACTACCCCTATATCTCATATTAATAATCTTATCATTTGTTTTTCTTCATTTTAAATGTCCCAAATTAGTTGTCTCATTTGAAACATCCATCTTAATTTTTTCTTTTTTGATGTCTCAAATTAGTTGTTCAATTTAAAATTTTAAAACAAAATAAATGTAATATTTTCATCCTCTTTAAATTTTCAAAAATCTTGTAATTAAGTAATAAGCATATTTAAATTTAAAATTAGAGTGATTACAATACCTTTTTTTTTCTTCTTTTCTTTCTTTTTGTTGTTTCATGCCCATGGCTAAAAATAAAAATAAAAACAACTTTTTGGAGTAAAACCTCGTGTTCGATTTACAATACAAAGTGAAAAGGTGTGGTTGAATTGTGGCGAGCTAAATAAGAGGCTGTTTTAAAAGAGATACTGTTTGGGGCAGGCTCCATGATATATATAAAAAATAAAAAAATAAAAATAAAATACTCGCTCCATCCGTGGCAATTCTACTAAAACTTGTCCATTGAAAATAACGAAAGCCCTTAATTTTATGCACTAACATATTCTATTTCTCAAAAATCTGTTTTATTTTGTTCACCAGGCATATTTCTGGTTCCATTTCAACTATAAAGAGAAGTTGCTCAAGAAGTTCATTCACAAATTCTGCTTCTCCCAAACAGATGGGCAAACAATTGCACATATTGGATTCCTCAAATAATAATAAATTCAAGCCTCAAACATCTGGAACATTCAACTGGTTACAAGTGTTTTAGATAGCAGATTAAGCTTTGAACAATGGCAGTCATGCAGTGGAATGAGTTGCGCTATCTACTTGAGAAACCCTATGTGAGAAAATTATTCTTACCGAGCTTCACATGGAGAAGTGGATAAAGCTGCAAAAAGTTCATGATTGATACATTCCACCAAGAATATTAAGCTAACCACAAGAATTTGTGATAATACATGTCCTCAACAAAATAGGCTACCCAATTGTCAATGTAACACCTCCATTGAACTGTCACAGTTAAATTGCTTTTATAACCAGTGCTACAATATCCTATCAATTTATAATATAACCTTAAAAGAGTAACTTACAATCATGTTGGAAAGATAAGCATGAATGTGAACAAACTAAACAAATTGATCTCAGGCTTCCCCGATCAACATGTAGAAAACAGGAGAGAGTACACTGAATAAGTAATTGACACCACGGCAAAGTTTGCCTTTATTCAACCCAAGGATGCTTGAAGTTGAAATCATATCCTCCTTTAAATTTACTCGTAGGCACTCAAATTAGATCATACTCAATAGCCCAAAAAAGAAAGTAAATGAATAACTGATCGCCTACTAAACATTCTACGACAAGGAAACACTCATTTAATAAAAACTGCAACTACATTGCAATCAGGAAGGAGAATAGCATGTTACCTTGTTAGAGTAACTATGAAGAAATAGTGTTCTTCGATAGCTTTAGACCAGTATTCATCATATGGAGGCATTATAAATTGTCAGACATACAAATACCATAGTGCAGACGTATTTCAATCTTTTCATAAGAAATAGATTGTTGTCAGAAGGAAAGGAGCAAAGGATTTATTCAGAATTTAGATCTTTATATTATTGCATAGTGATAAGTAACAGTATAATATAATAAAATGTAAACTAAATTATGTAAGTTGCAAAATGTATATTACAAATCAATTTATTATTAGAATGATTACACACATGTATGCATAATGAAATAAAGATTGAAGCCTCAGATGGTCAATCTGACATCAAATAAGTAATTCAGTCGGTAATTCCAACTTAAATAGATAATAATCCTCATTGGCTTCAAAGAAACAAGTGAATCAAAGAAAACACCACCAAAAAAAAATTAAATAACCTACACTTAAAATCCGATACTCGAATGATAACCCTATAAACAAACTCAACAATTGAACACAGCAGAAAATATAGAAGTACCTACTACAAATAAACAGACAAACAAGTTTAATAAACATGTGCGAAATAAACAAATACTTGAGTTTATACAGTCCCAGACACAATTGAGCCTACAAATTTTATAACAGAATACATGCCATGTCAGAGATATAGGGAAAATAAGGCAATAAGAGCAATAGTAAAGAAGATTATTGGTAAGGGTATGATTTTTTATATGTTTTTTTATTTTTCCCCCTAATTATTTTACCCAATTGTTGCCGAAGTTTTCCGTCATTGGTTACTGGTCAAAAGCTGCTCACAGAATGGGAAGATAAAGCCCATACAGCTCAATTTCAAGCATTGGAGAGGACTGACTTGCAGGAGTAAGGAAGGGGTGGAGCAGGCAAGTCCCGCTAGGAGCTGACCAGAGGTCTAGTTCATTTATAACACTTGTGAAGAAAACAAATGCCTAAGAAACAAAATAACATAGAAATCATATCTTTGGATAAAAGAAGATTTTGGCTCATAATGGACAATAGGCATGAACCATAGAAAACAGATCAGCCCAAAACACCCAACAGAAGCCGAGGACAATATAGGCAACAGGAAAAGAGGAAATCAACAAGCACTTGATCACCTGGCAAAGTTGCTTTTCTTAATCATATACCATTACTATCACAATATAACTATTTCTATTATTATACAAATTTTCCTATCTCACCGGATTTTCTTCAATTCTCAATTTTCTTTCCTCCATCAAGGGTTTATGTTATATGATGGTGTTGGTATTAATACAAGTTAATTAACAAAAAAAAATACGCAGATCTGCAAAAGGGGAATAATAGATGGCAATAAAATGATTTTTTATTTTTATTTTATGTTAATCCAGTTAAATTTTGAACCAAATTAAAGCAAAATTAAAAATAGAATCATGAACATGCTACACAAGATTGCGAAAAAAAGTAGGTTCCAATCAGTGAACACGAGACTTCCTGATTTGAGTTAGAGTGAATATAGAATCCCCTATCAGAGTAACTATGACAACGGCTTCATCTGGATGTTACTCCATGGCACATTACATATGTTCATCATTTAGGGGGACCAGGAAAGATTAAGAAAAAAAACACCAAGAAAAGGAGAAGAGAAAAGGCCAATATAAAATCTATAGTTCCAAGAAAAGAATCACCAAACAAAAAAAAGGGTTCAATAACAATATATAAATATATATTCAATTTGATATTCAAACAAAATAAGGCAAAAGATGAATGCATACATGAACAAAAACCATCGGAAACATGATTTAATACTTTAAAACAGTGCGTAGGGTTATGGTCTGCACAATGGAATGGCCGGGCGGCTGCCTGGAACTAGGGTTTGAGCTTTGAAGCGGACTAAACAAATTGATCTCAGGCTTCCCCGATCAACATGTAGAAAACAGGAGAGAGTACACTGAATAAGTAATTGACACCACGGCAAAGTTTGCCTTTATTCAACCCAAGGATGCTTGAAGTTGAAATCATATCCTCCTTTAAATTTACTCGTAGGCACTCAAATTAGATCATACTCAATAGCCCAAAAAAGAAAGTAAATGAATAACTGATCGCCTACTAAACATTCTACGACAAGGAAACACTCATTTAATAAAAACTGCAACTACATTGCAATCAGGAAGGAGAATAGCATGTTACCTTGTTAGAGTAACTATGAAGAAATAGTGTTCTTCGATAGCTTTAGACCAGTATTCATCATATGGAGGCATTATAAATTGTCAGACATACAAATACCATAGTGCAGACGTATTTCAATCTTTTCATAAGAAATAGATTGTTGTCAGAAGGAAAGGAGCAAAGGATTTATTCAGAATTTAGATCTTTATATTATTGCATAGTGATAAGTAACAGTATAATATAATAAAATGTAAACTAAATTATGTAAGTTGCAAAATGTATATTACAAATCAATTTATTATTAGAATGATTACACACATGTATGCATAATGAAATAAAGATTGAAGCCTCAGATAGTCAATCTGACATCAAATAAGTAATTCAGTCGGTAATTCCAACTTAAATAGATAATAATCCTCATTGGCTTCACATCTTCAACTAATATTAACCTTTGTTACTTAAAAAAACAAGTGAATCAAAGAAAACACCACCAAAAAAAATTAAATAACCTACACTTAAAATCCGATACTCGAATGATAACCCTATAAACAAACTCAACAATTGAACACAGCAGAAAATATGGAAGTACCTACTACAAATAAACAGACAAACAAGTTTAATAAACATGTGCGAAATAAACAAATACTTGAGTTTATACAGTCCCAGACACAATTGAGCCTACAAATTTTATAACAGAATACATGCCATGTCAGAGATATAGGGAAAATAAGGCAATAAGAGCAATAGTAAAGAAGATTATTGGTAAGGGTATGATTTTTTATATGTTTTTTATTTTTCCCCCTAATTATTTTACCCAATTGTTGAAGTTTCAATTAAAAATAAACAAATAACTAACACTTGTGAAGAAAACAAATGCCTAAGAAACAAAATAACATAGAAATCATATCTTTGGATAAAAGAAGATTTTGGCTCATAATGGACAATAGGCATGAACCATAGAAAACAGATCAGCCCAAAACACCCAACAGAAGCCGAGGACAATATAGGCAACAGGAAAAGAGGAAATCAACAAGCACTTGATCACCTGGCAAAGTTGCCTTTCTTAATCATATACCATTACTATCACAATATAACTATTTCTATTATTATACAAATTTTCCTATCTCACCGGATTTTCTTCAATTCTCAATTTTCTTTCTTCCATCAAGGGTTTATGTTTTGTTCAATACGAATGCATATGATGGTGTTGGTCAGATCCGCAAAAGGGGAATAATAGAGGGCAATAAAATGATTTTTTATTTTTATTTTATGTTAATCCAGTTAAATTTTGAACCAAATTAAAGCAAGAATTAAAAATAGAATCATGAACATGCTACACAAGATTGCGAAAAAAAGTAGGTTCCAATCAGTGAACACGAGACTTCCTGATTTGAGTTAGAGTGAATATAGAATCCCCTATCAGAGTAACTATGACAACGGCTTCATCTGGATGTTACTCCATGGCACATTACATATGTTCATCATTTAGGGGGACCAGGAAAGATTAAGAAAAAAAACACCAAGAAAAGGAGAAGAGAAAAGGCCAATATAAAATCTATAGTTCCAAGAAAAGAATCACCAAACAAAAAAAAGGGTTCAATAACAATATATAAATATATATTCAATTTGATATTCAAACAAAATAAGGCAAAAGATGAATGCATACATGAACAAAAACCATCGGAAACATGATTTAATACTTTAAAACAGTGCGTAGGTTTATGGTCTGCACAATGGAATGGCCGGGCGGCTGCCTGGAACTAGGGTTTGAGCTTTGAAGCGGACTATGTTTGGGGTTAAATAGGGTCCGCATCAGAGAGTCTCTTTAGGGTTTTTAATTCATCCTACTATGTTTATTTTTTATTAATATTTATTTAGGACCCCCTGAATTTTCACATATTTCAAATTACCTCTAATACGAATAATTTTGCAACAAACGGACTTTAAACTTTTACAAAAACTTGCAACGAACCACGCTTTTTATTAATAGCAGTTATACTTTTTTTTTTTTTTTTTTTTTTTTTTTTTTTTTCAAATTTTCTTTTTTCCACATACAAGACATTTATAATTCATATTCTATTTACTAACAGGCCAGTGTATGTCCAAGCCACTTGCCCCATGCCCGCCCACTACACATATGATAATTTTTTTTATTTTATATTTTATATGTATATAAATGGAATTTTTTATATAACGCCTCTAAAATTATTAATTTTTAAAATTATCTCTTATTTTTCTATTTTTTTTCCTAATTTACTCTTCAAATTCCTTAAAAAAGAGTTAAATTTTCCTTGTTAAATTAAATTTTAATTTTTTCCTTTTTAAGTTGTCCTTTTTCTTTTTTTCTTTTTTATTTTCCCTTCTACTACTTTAAATATATTTTTTTTCTTAACACTGTACCCCTAAACTAAAATCCTGCTTCGCTTAGGATGTAAAATATATTTCTTCTCACCATTATCATAGTGTTTGATTGATAGTCAGAAACGAATTGAAATCTATAAAATGACAATTTTAAAGATTCTCAAAAAAAAATAAAAAAAATAAAAAAAATAGAGATTTCTCCTAAGTAATTTTCTTTTTTCCACATACAACACACTTGCATAATTCATATTCCATGTACTAACGGCAGGTTACATAATTTTTGTTTTTTGACATACATTTTATATAAGTCTGACAGTTTATGATATTTTTTTGGCTAAATTTCACTCACTTACCTTGAAGTTTGTTAATATTTCATATGTACCGCTCTTATGTTTTAGAATACCACTTACCTCCCTCAAAGTTTTGGTTTATGTAATAAATTTCCCTAATCATTTTGACATTTTCTCCAAACAGGGCCAAGTTGATTTGAATATACTTACTTACACATACATATATATATATATATATATATATATATGTGTGTGTGTGTGTGTGTGTATGTTCTTTCTCTGGGTTGAAGCTCATACCTGTTGTCTCTAATAATACTTGCATACATCTTTCACTCAAGGAGGAGAACTCATACTATTTGAAGTTTTGAACTAATACTGTTCATTGGTGATTTAAAAAAAATTCGGAAAAAACTGATTAGGAAAAGTGTATTAAAGATCACTTACGATTGTAATAATTGAGGTAGAGAACGTCAAATATTTAATAGCATCTTATTGCTACAAATTGACAACCATTTTATTTGTCATTAAATGAGGAAATTAAAGTGCTTGAAAATCAATTCTTCCATCATAGGCTAACATGCTTTCCAATACATGTAGTTTTTGTTCTATAACAACAATGCAAAAAGGATACATACATTTGTAAAAGACGAGAAAATCCTAAAAAACTGCTAACTTGACTTCCAATAAAATCACCGTAAATTAGCAGTATGCAAGGTGCGTAAGAACATGCAAAAATTCCAACCCGAGGCATCATATACCTCATAAGGACGGATTTGTGCCTTTGTATCATCCATGCAACTTCTCGAGTCCCTGCAGGTTACTTTTCTCTGCTTCTCTGTCAACAAAATGTTTTTTGTTTTTTGTTTTTTTCCCTTCTGACACCCAAGCTTAGTAGCCTTGTGAATGTGGAAGCTGCTTTAACCATAGAGTGGCTTTGGTAGCAAACAGAAGCAAACCTTCCAAGTGTCTTCAGGTTGTGAAAGCAAAAACCTAGAAATTGATCAAAATACCAAATGAAGAAAATAGCACTCCTAGAATGAATTTTAAAGTAAAAGGTTAAAATGACTGAACTAACTTGAGCATGAGAATGAACCAAATTTCCTAACAGGATTGACAACTACTTCCACAACCCAAAATTCCTTTAATTGTTACGACACATACACATGAATTCCAAATGAAATTCCTCAGATAGAGCTAGCTCCATATCTACATCCTAACCTCGTAAGGTTATACACAGCCTGAGCAATCAGTAAGACTAAGACACCACTCAGAAAGAGCTAGAATTCCTTGTGTCAGACCTACAGCCAAGAGACAGTCTTAGGTTGACAGTTTCTATGGAATGTAGGCCCCCCAAAAGGTAACCGAAGCGTGCAAAGGTTACCTTAGTTGGTATGGAAGAACTGCCGCACAACAGGAAATCCTTCTCTATACTAGTTCTCAAATCATGTATCGAGAGAAAATAAATAAATAACAGAACAAATACAATTAAGTTGCTAACTTATGGGTAGATAAGTGAAAAACTTTTAAACACCCACATTGTAGTGAAGATATAGAGAGAGAGGACTGAGGACTACCATAGCAAGCTGAAATTTTATCACAAGAAGTTGGAATAATCCTTTATACCATACTGAAAATGCCCTACAAAAGTTTAATCTCAGCCATTTATCTGAATCTAATCTAAGGGCTATTGATTGTCTAACAAAAAACAAAAAAGGAAATATATATCACAAAAAAAAAAAAAAAAAAAAAAAAAATGAACAAGAGAAAACTGCCCCGCACTTACTTTGGTCACATAAACTCACTTAAAAGCACATTGCTTTTAAAATAGTTGTACAAGTTCAAAATACTTCAAAGTAGAACTAAAAAATGATTGAGAAACAGGGAAACACTAAACAATAAGGCTTGTCCCAAAAAAAAAAAAAAAAAACTGATCAATAAAAATCTGATTTAGACTCAAATAAGCAACTCAAAACACATGAAAGCCCCCATAAGTTGGCTATGTGCTGAGCCCCCCATAGTGGCTTCTTGGCCTGGTCTTTTGACTTTTGAGGGTGTTCAAATGCTTACAAAATTGAGATCAAATTGGACTTGTGAGTTTAAGCTTGCAATCAAATCAAAATCTAAAATAAGCAAAACAGCATAATACCTATAAGGGTGCATTATGTATATATCTCTTCTCATAGAACCCAGTCACTTGGTCAGCCACAGCCCACATGATGGCCTGGCCAGGTGGGATCCTCATTAGCCGGGGCAGCAGTCCCTTCCACAAGGCAAGCAACCCTTCCTCTGCATATATTGTTGTGATAGCATGGACCATGCCTTTGTACTTCAACTCGCCCGCAGATCGGCTCTGAGCCATCAGCCTTGTTTTTACAACATCAAAGGGGCCAGTGCACACCGGACCAACTGTTCCAGCAAGAAATCCAGATATCATAGACTGCCATGGTTGGAGGACTTTCCTGTCACCCTCTTGTTTCTTCCACAGGATCCTGTCAAAAGCATTCTTCGCTGTAAACATGGCAGCCTGGTTTGTCCCATTGCGCATGACGGTTGGGGCAGCCCCTGCCCAGAGCCCAAGGAGGCCTTCTTCACGGATGATCAAACGAGCACAGTGAACAGGTCCCTTGTATTTTAAAAGCTCGGGACTCAGTCCTTTTTGTTGCTGCAGCCTGATTTTTACCACCTGCACAATCAAAATTTGATTTAACTTCTAGTGATCCCCATTTTCTTGAATTTTACAAATAAAGAATGTATATGTGTGCAATTTTCCTAATCATTAGCATGTAGTAAAGTAATATCTCATCCCAATACAACTTTAGCAATATCCTTGCATCAGTGCAGAGACTTCACGGGAATGCTTTGGTTGTGGGCTATGAACATAGGAGAGACGTGTGTGTGAGTACCAACTAGGAAAAAAAAAAAAAAAACATAGGGTGCAGTTTTGTCAGGACACCTGATGTGCAGATGCCCCTCCTAGAGAGGTGTCTCCCAACCTTTTCAGTTTTAATTCTAATAAGGAACTTGTATTGCTTACTACCCCAGCTTTCTCAGGGAAGTGACATGTAGGATCCCAAGTTCTTTACAGCAGCATATGATTTTAGCTGGAAGCAGTTGATGAGTTTTTTGAGTTGTATTATGGTACTATTTGTGGTGTGGGTGTATGTGGGTTGTGTGTGTGGGTGGGGGAAAGAGAGGGAATTCTTAGATATGGAAGACTAGGTAATGGAAAGTTTGAGGTAAAATCTTACAATCTCACTTCAGGGTGCTTTGTGGAAAGTGGAAACAGTGAGGTTTCAATTGGAAGAACATGTGGTGAGCTAGGGTTCCAAGGTAGACTTCTTCATTGATGATTCGAGCCTTTCAGAGGTAGACTAGGTTTTTGTTGTTTTTTGTCTTATATAATATCCTGCTTTTTCATGGATTCCACTTCCTTGATATTTTTAGTGAATATATTGTACTTCTCTTTCTAGATCACTTGCAGTTTTGAAGATTAGATATCTTTCTATTCTACATATTATGATATATGATACCTCACAGTCCCATACCCATTTGGCATTGGTATGGGTTGTTCCATACACCAATTGTTTGATATCAACTGCAGCACTTTTTACAACCCTCCCAAACCCTTCGTAGCTGCAGGCAGTCTTCAGGTCCAGATATATCTCAAACATCTGTGTGCATGAAGAACAAACTGGCCGTCGCGTGCTACAATCAATCAGGTGCATTGATCCACGAAAAAGAAGAATTTATAAACGTGAACGAGAATAATACTCCATTCACATTCTCACACACAGCAAATAACTTCACAGTTGTTGGGTGTGATGACCCTGGTTTGATATATTCATCAGTGTTAGACAGGCCTGATATCAACAGTGGGTGTGTGTCCTCCAGTTCCAAAAATGGGGACATGCCTAGTGGGGAATGTACTGGAACTGGTTGTTGCCAAACCACCATATCATTCATGACCACATCAAGATCTCCTCTTTCAACCCTTGTGGCTACGCCTTCGTCGGTGAGCAAGACAGCTTCACGAGGAACGGTCTCTCAGACTTACCAGATAAAACTGGTGGAGGACAGGATCATTGATGGTGTTCCATTGGTGCTCTACTGGGTGATTGGGAATCATAGTTGCAACAAAGCCCAAAAATCCAACACCTTAGTCTGCCAACAGAATAGTCAATGTAATGATTCCAACACTAGTGGTGATGGAGGATACCGTTGCACCTGCAAAATCGGTTATGAGGGTAATCCTTATCTCAGTCCAGGATGCCAAGGTCTGTTTGTTGTCTATCAATCTTTTATCAAATAGAATTAACTTACAACAAAATGCAATCAGCTAGTACACTGGCTAGTCGTATATATTACAATGATATTAGTACTTAAAGTTGCAATATTTTTGACAGCCTTAAACTATTGTAATAGTTGGTTATTGTTCCAACTGGATATAATTTGTTATATGGAGCAAATATACTTTGCTTTGCCCATATAACAAAGTCAAGTATTGATTACCCTTTGTATATATACCTCAACTTTTACTTATCAAAAAAAATATATATATACCTCAACTTCATATAGTATCAAAGGTTTTTTCCAGGCTTGATTTGCTTCATACACAAATGGTTTGGATAGTTTTTTTTTGTAAAAATGTGTCCGTTAACTGTTATAGAGAACACATTATTATATTTAGTGTTTATAAAGCATGGATTATTAATTTATTATAACTACTGTCTGTGAAAAATCAGATTGATGAAAATCTTTGATGGATAGAGTACTAGGGTTATTGGTTGTAATCACCATGGTCCATTTGAACATGATACATCTTAGGTATGCGATTAAGAAGATTGCATCATAGGGTTGAGGGGTTATGGTACCGTTTACAAAGGTGTTTTAGCTTACCAACGTGTAGTTGCGATTAAGAAGTCTCGAACAATGGATAAGCAATTCATCAATGAGTTCGTCATTCACAAATTAACCATAGAAATGTGGTGAAGCTCTTGGGATGTTGTTTGGAAACTGAAGTAACTCAACTGGTTTATGAATATGTCTCTAGTCGTATCTTCAGCAATATCATCAACAAAAGTGAAATGTCTTGGTTATCTTGGGACAATTGTTTAAGAATAGGCGTGGAAACTGCTAGTGCACTTGCATATCTTCACTCGGCAGCTTCAGTGCCCATCATTAACAGGGATGTTAACTCGACCAACATACAATTAGATGAAAACTACACTGCAAAAATATCAAATTTGGTGCGTTGAGGTTGGTACCATTGGATCAAACTCAAGTAACTACGCTAGTTCAAGGGAAGGGACGTTGGGGTATCTATATCCTGAATACTTCCATATGTGTCAATTAACTGAAAAAAGTGATGTTTACAACTTTGGAGTGGTTCTTGCAGCACTCATAACTCGACAAAACCCTGTATGTGTACAGAGAGAACCTAAGTAGAAAGAAATTTGGCTACATATTTCACTAAGCCCATGAAGCAAAACCGTCTTTTCCAAATTCTTGAGCCTCAAGTGCGAAGGGAAGGGACTTCAGAGCAGCTTCAAACAGTTGCTGAGCTTGTGAAGAAATGTCTTAACTTGGCAGGTGAAGAGAGGCCTATAATGAAGGATGTGGCAATGGAGCTAGAAGGTTTAAGGAAACTCACTAAACATCCATGGGTTCATCACCAAAGCGATGAAGATGATGTGGGCTTAATTAGTGAAGAATCAGACCCAAACACAGGGCCATAGGCCCATATACTAATTATATGGGGACTGCGCTGAACAAAACAGTTTAGATAGCCGTCTAATAGCACCTCCCGTTGATATATAATTAGGTCACTTGTAATAACGTCACGGAGTTCTTGTACTTTCACCTCTACTTTTTTTTTTTTTTTTTCTCAATCTTCTGTCATTCCTATGCTACAATTTTTCATGTTTGTACATGGACTTTCTATATAAAAATGATCTAATAATATTGTTTTCTTGCACAAGTCAATGTTCCATATAAGTAGAAAAGCTCAAAATTTGTCAGTTAACACTCGCTTTGAGCTTTCCATTAATGGCTTTCAACTGATGTATACAAACAGAAGAGATGACCTCCTATCATGTAAAAAAAAATTCATGGGATTGAATTACTTTAATGTTGCATTTGGGAGCACCAAATCGGCACTTTGGATTTGGGATTGGAGGAAATTTAGTTTTTTTTTTTATAAGTAAAAATATCATAGAAAGCGCTCAAAGAGGGAACGCATCCCAAAAGAACAACATAAGGCCAAAAAAGGGACTTTAAGCCTTCAAAGAGACCAAGAAAACAACAATATCCTCTAAAGATCTATAATCTCTACTGAAAACCCAACAAAAAAGAGTGGAAACAATAGAGAACTTAAGAAAAGAAATAGGCCTCTCCTTGCCATCAAAATATATCCTATTCCTCTCCAGCCAGATGCACCACCACACACAAAGAGGCGTAGCCCTCCAAGCATCATGAATATGGTCCCCCACAGAACACCCTCTCCAAGCCTCAACCAGCCTTCTAGAGGAATGAGGCATGACCCAATGGATCCCAAACAAGCCAAGCATCAAGTCCCAACAATCCTTGGCCATGGTGCAATGCAAAAGAAGATGATCCACTGTCTTCTCATCCCGAAGACACATATAGCACCGATTGACCACCACCTAATTTCTCCTTCTCAAATTGACCTAGGTTAAAATCTTACCCAAAACAGTGGTCCAAGCAAAGAAAGCCACCTTAAGAGGAGCCTTAGAGCGCCAAACAGACTTCCATGGGAAAGTCCCTCCAGGTTTCACTATAAGACACCTGAAAAAGGAACGAACATCAAAGCGACCTTGCGAGTTGGAAGCCCAAATCCAACAATCAGAGTCTCTAGCCATGACACCCTACCGATACAGCCGAGTGGCATCCTCAACCTCCCAATCCTGTAAAAGACGCCTGAATCGAACATCACAAACCAATCTCCCGCTATCAAAATGATAACAGTCGACCACCCTGTCCTGTCTATCCGTAGCAATCTTGAAGAGCCGTGGGAAAGCGAGAGCAAGAAAAAGATCCCCACACCAAACATTCTCCCAAAAACTGATCCTTCTACCATTCCTGAGTCTAAAACGAACATGAATGGAAAAATCAGCCTAGCCCTTCCGAATACACTTCCAGACCCCCACACCCCTCAGACCACGCACCTCAAGAGAGCACCACCCTCCTATGCATTCCCCATATCTACTCACAACGACCCTCCGCCAAAGCCAATGTCTTTCCACCCTAAACCTCCACAGCCATTTCCCAAGGAGAGCTTTATTGAAAGGCACCAATCTTCGAAGACCCAACCCTCAATTACGAATCCGCCTGCAGACTTGCTCCCACCGAACCAGGTGATACTTAAACTCCCCCCTCTTCTTGGAAAGATACTGCTTCTTCCATCCCGCCAGCCTCCTCTCAAACCTATCCACAACTGGATCCTAAACCCCCACACACCTCGAAGGAGCTCCCAGGGGCAGCCCTAAATAAGAGATATGGAAAGGGCCAGTACAACATCCAAGAATGTCAGCAAACACAGCGATTTACCTCCCCAACCGACACCAACACACTCTTGCCAATATTCACCTTAAGGCCGGAAACAACTTGGAACCAGATCAAAACACATCTCAAATACTTAAGCTCCGTATCACAAAGCACAAGCATATCATCTGCAAACACCAAGTGAGAGATCTCCAACTGACTAGCGGCATCCCTACCCAGCCAGAACCCTCTCTCAGAAAACCCAACCCTCCTTATCAACCAACTGAGGGCCTCCATCATAAGGAGAAACAAGAAAGGGGAAAGCGGATCTCCCTGCCTCAGGCCACTCGAGCTAGAGAAAAAACCCGTCGGAACTCCATTCACTAGAATAGAGAAACGAGCACTAGAAATGCAAAAATGAATCAATTTCCTCCACCGCACACCAAACCCTATCCTCTCCATCAGGTAGAGAAGGAAACTCCAACTCACGTGGTCATACGCCTTCTCAATATCCAACTTACACAAAACGCCCGGTTCCCCACTACGCAATCTGGAGTCCACACACTCGCTAGCAATGAAAACTAAATCCAAAATCTGACGGCCTCCTACAAAGGCATTTTGAGAGTCAGAAATCACCCCATCCAACATTTTCCTCAGCCTAAAAGCAAGGACTTGGCAATCAGCTTGTAAATGCACCCCACCAAAGTAATGGGGTGAAAGTCCCGAACAACCCCCCCCCCCCCCCCCCCCCCCCTCCCGGGAATAAGGGCAATGAAGGTGACATTCAAGCTCTTCTCAAAAGACCCTTAGGCGTGGAAAGCATGAAAAGTACCCATCACCTTCCTTTTAGCCACCTCCCAGCACTCCAAAAGGAATCTCGTGGTGAACCCATCTGGACCTAAGGCTTTATCCCCGTTACAGCTCTTCAAAGCAACCAAAACTTCCTCTTCAGAAAAAGGCTCCTCCAGTCCCAAGAACTCCTCACTAGAGATAGAGTTAAACTGAAACCCCTCAAGCAAAGGTCTCCACCCCGCCAACTCTGTGAACAACTTCACATAGTACTCAGCAATACCTTTGCAGACATCCTCCTCCTTGAACAAAATCTCCCCTTCCACCCGAATCCTCCCAATATGATTGCCCCTTCTATGGGCATTGGCCAATTTGTGGGCATTGGCCAATCTGTGGAAAAACTTCGTGTTCTTGTCGCCCTCCTTAAGCCATAAAGCTCGAGATTTTTGCCTCCACGAAATATCCTCCAAAACAGCAATCTCAGCAAACTCCGCCTGACACTCCACCCTTCTGGCCTTCAAGGAATCCACCAGGACCTCCTGACCCTCCATCCGGTCAATCTTCGCAATCTCAGAAAAGACCCGATTCTTCCTCCAAACAAGATTCCCGAAGACCTCTTTGTTCTAAATCTTGAGACTTTCCTTCAAAAGGCGCAAGTTTCCTGCGAGTATATGACTTGGGGTACCAACCACCCCAAACCCATCCCACCAGAGTCAAACACAATCCAGAATGCGTTCAACACAAAGCCACATATTTTCAAATCTGAAAGGAGATAGCCGCCTACGCAAACTGAAGACCTCTTGGAAGAAATTTAGTTCAAAATTTTAACTAAATTTCTTTCAATTCCAAATCCAAACTGCTGATTCGGTGCTTCCAAAAATAAGGTAAACATCCTCAAAATATTGAGATGTCTGGATTTAATTTCTAACAAGTACGTGTTGAAGTCTTCCAATAACTAGAACAAAATCTTTGAACAAAAACACCAAACGAATATTGTATTTTTTTTTTTTTTTTTTTGCAACTAACATTGTATTGAAAAGAAAAGAATTGTCAAGATAGTTATAGAGTTTGAAATTTGAGCAGATTCACTTCTTGAAACTTTTCAAACTCCAGTATGTGTTGAAGTCTTCCAATAACTAGAACAGAATCTTTGTACAAAAACACAAACTAATATTGTATTTTTTTTTCTTTTTGGCAACTAACATTGTATTGAAAAGAAAAGAATTGTCGAGTTAGTTGTAGAGTTTGAAATGTGAGCAGATTCACTTCTTGAAACTTTTCAAACTCCAGTCAGAGCATCTGGGTGATCTGGACCAAGTGTTATCTCCTAATGTCTGCTTATTGTGTATTTAAGACCCTAAATCCACTCTCATTTGTTCTTTATTTTCTAGACTCATATCCAAAATTTATGTGGTTTATCCTTCCAGATGATTGATCATCTTTGCTGATTTTTGGCTACTAACAAGCTATGCCTTAGTAATTGTGGGAGGAAAGAAATGATTGCATATGTGGGGTTCTTCCTGCCCTGTTTCAGACTTTCAGTGATCCAGAACTCAATCATCAACATTGTTCTACGTAGGCTACTGTCATGCAAAGTCAAAACATTAGAACAATTAATGATCTTATTGCATGAACCCGATGATTGAAAGAAAATTTATTAAGTGAAGGTCTTACCAGAATCATCATTTAAAAAATAATATCAAATATAAAAAATGGAAATAGAAAAGAAATAAGAAAATAGAAAACCCAAAAAGAAAAAATTGAATACAAGAACTTCATGACCTTGTTACAAGTGAATTATCTATCAGCAGGGGCTATTTGTATTAGGCATCAAATGACTATCCAAACTATATTGTCCAAATGATTCCCTATAATCAGTACTATAAAGGCTCATTTGCACTGTGTACAGATCTGGTTCTTGACTCACTAAGCCCACATTCTCTTCATGGCTTTGTTGATGAACCCATGGATGTCTAGTGATCCTCAAAGCCTCTAGTTCCATTGCCACTTCCCTCGTGATAGGCCTTTCTTCACTAGTCATGTTAAGGCATTTCTTCACAAGCTCAGCAACCAATTGAAGCTGCTCCAATGTCCCTTTTCTTACAACTCGAGCCTCAAGAAATTGGAACAATCGGTTCTGCTTCATCGGCAGAATGAAATATGTGGCTAAATTTCTTTCTTCTTGGGTTCTCTCCATGCTTAACAGTTTTTTTCCAGTCAATAATTCCGGAATAATCACTCCAAAACTATAAACGTGGGATTTTTTTTTTTTTTTTTTTTCCTGTCAACTGGCTTTTATGAAAGTATTGAGGATCTAAATATCCCAATGTCCCTTGAACTAGTGTAGTCACTTGAGTTTGGTCCAATGGAACCAACCTCGACGCGCCAAAGTCTGATGTTTTTGTAGTGTAATGTTCATAACTTCATATAATAATATGTTGGCAGACTTGACAATTTGTGGATGATTGGCATTGAAGTTGCTGAGTGAAGACATGTAAGGGCACCCACCGGTTCCACAACTATTCTTAAACGTTTGTCCCTAGATATTGAGATTCCACCTTTGCTATGGATATGGTCGAAGAGGGTACCACTAGCGACATATTCACAAACCAATTGAGGGACGTCGGTCTCCAAACAACATCCCAAGAGTTTTACCACATTTTCATTGATGAACAACTCAATTTGGCTCTTATCCATTATTCGTGACTTCTTGATTGCAACCACGTGTTGATCTACAATATCACCTTTGTAAATTGTACCATAATCACCTCGGCCTAAGATGCGATCATCACTTAGTTGTTGGTGACTTTTTCTAACTCTTGTGCAATAAGTTTAGAGCAGCATATGATTGTAGCTAAAAGCAGTTGATAAGTCTTTTGAGCTGTATTATTAGGGTACTTATTTGTGGAGAGAGAGAGAGAGAGAGAGAGCTAATTCTTAGACATGCAAGACTAAGTAATGAAAAGTTAGAGGTAAAATCTTGCATTCTCACTACAGGGTGCTTTGTGGAAATAAACACTGAGGTACCAATTGGAAGAGCATGTGGTGACCTAGGGTGCCTTCCAAAGTAGACTTCTTGATAGATGATTCAAAATTTTCAGAGGGAGCCTAGGTTTTTGTTGTTTTTTGTCTCACATATATATCTTACTTGTTCATGGATTGCACTTCCTTGGTATTTTTAGTAAATATACTGTACTTCACCCAAAAAAAAAAAAAAAAAAATCTAAATTTGTTGCAATCTTGCAGATTAGATATCTTTCTATTCTACATATTATGATATATGATACTGGAGCCGTAAGAGCAATCATCTCTCTCTCTCTCTTTTTATTTTATTTTATATAGTCAATCTGATGTAACTTCGTTCCACTTCTCTTGGTGGATCTCTCCACTAAAAGGAGGTAATGCTTAAAAATTTAGATTCTGATAAATTTTCGTTTAATAGGGGACAACTTAGGGAAAAAGTGTATCATATTGCACCTCCCAATCTTATAAAATCCCTTAATTCAGAATGTTGCTTCTTATAAACAAAGCATATTGAAAACAAAAACCATAGCAAATGCACATCAAAATTCAAATTTGTTAGAAGCTGTCCCGTCAGGCTCAGCAACTACAAATGGGAAAACTATAATGCAGGGATAAACAATGACAAAATGTATCAATTCTAAATCACAATTTATATATGCGCTGACCTCAAAAGGCGTGACAATAACAAGAGCTTCAAGAACACCCGCTCCGAAACCGGAAAGAACCCTCCCATAGTTACTGATCTTCCCTGTCTGCGAGTCCTTGAACATTCCCTGAAACACCGCATTCGATCCCATTCGAAGCGTATATTTCAGAGTCAAGTGCGTCGCAAACGGTGTCAGACCCTTCCAAAGAGCCCGCACCCCTTCGGTGCGCACCACGGTGGTGCCGCAGTGGATAATTCCCTTGTAGGAACCGGACCGGTCGAGCTGTAACCGGGTTTTTATGACGTCGATCGGCTGTAGACAACAGGCTTCCACTACCCCTCCGATTGAGCCCGAGATTGCTTTCATGTACGGTGGAATTGAAGTCTTGTGGAGATGATTTGGGTTCTCATTTTTCTCGGCCATTGATGATTTGGGACCCAATTTGTGAAGTTAGAGCTGTTCTTGATTTGGGTACTGGGGTGGAAGGAGAAGAAGGAGAGGACGGCGTTGATTTTTTTTTTTTTTTTTGGTGGGGTGCTGGTTCTTCTCCTTCTCCTGCTCCTCCTCGAACCGTTACAGCGAGGAAATGGAGACGGAGGTGTTAAAATGCGAATCGTCTTTTGGGGAAAAGTTCTCTGCACGCGAAAATTCTGCACTTGTTACGCTTGGGCATTTTTTTTTTTTTTAATCAAATATTAAAACAAACCAACCTACACGAAGTAAGTCCTCTAATGTGATTAGGCTTCTATTGAATTGTTGTTTAAAACTATTCAAAATAATATGTTAATGACTAGTTTAAGAATGATAAATAGTTAACAACATATTTAAAATGAAAAGAAAAATGAGAAAATTTTGAAAAGAAAAAAAATTAAAGTTTGACTCAAAAAGGAAAATTTTAGAAAATAAAAATTTTAGGAGAGTATTATATAAATTTAGTATATGTTTAATAGTACAGACTAGGGCTACTTGCCCCCCAACATACACTGGCTCTGCCATGGTGAATATATGTTTCATGAATATAGATTTGTATAATATCATACAAGGTTATGAATTTAAATTTTTAAACACATATTCGTAGTCATAAACTTGTATATGTTCATAAACGAGTCGATTTGAATACGTTGAACCCATATACGTAAGCCCGAGCCTAAGCAGTCACTTAGGGTCTTCAATTTGGTTAAAAAAATTTATATTACTAGGGCCTCTCAAAATTTTGGATTTCATATTCGTCTAGGGCCTCAAAAAATAATAATTTTTGTAGGATTGATTTGTTTCATACGTAAATGTTTCGGATTTTTTTTTTTTTGGTGTGTGTGTGTTAAAAATGTTCATTTTTTTGTATTAAAGAATAGATTATTATATTTAGTGTTTGTAAAGCATGGATTATTATAACTAGTGTTTGTGAAAAAAGTTAAATAGGGTTGTTATGGTATTACTATTCAATGAAATGAATTCCATGAGTGTTGTATTTTAAATTAAACGTGTTACATGCAAAAAGAGTAATTGCAAGAATCCATTAGACTTATATTTTGGAGCATGTCAGTACTTAACTATAAAAATATTTTGGATGGTGTTTTTTTTTGGTTAAAAATGCGTTGGTTTTTTGTATTAAAGAATAGATTATTGTATTTGGTGTTTGTAAAGCATGGATTATTATAACTAGTGTTTGTGAAAAAAGTCAAATAGAGTTGTAATGATATTACTTTTCAATGTTGTGAATTACACCAGTGCTATATTTAAATTAAACGTGTTACATGCAAAAAGAGTAGTTGCAAGATGCCCCATTACTCATTAGCCTATATCTTGGAGCACGTCAGTCCTTAACCATAAAAATACTGGATATTACCCTTTGAGGACACCGGAAAATACTTTGGCTGTGCGTGGGAGTCACAATTACTGTAAATTATCCCTATTTATTAATTTATTATAAAGTTTATAAAATATCATAGGTATAAAATGCCTATAATACCCTCATGTACTTAACTTGTTTTCCCCAAAACCACGATCTGAATATTACAACAGTTGGTAGAGAGAGACACTTCGATCGTGGGTGAGACAATTTGTGAGGCCATTGTCCCGATAGCAACTTGCTTCCCTCGCCGCCCAATTTCCAGAGATTCTCCATTTCAAGCAAAACATTCAAGCCCCCAATGGCCACTCTCACCATTGCCCCAAATGTTGGGCTCTCCGAAACTTTCAACAGATTGAGAAAAAAAAAGAAGGCAAAGTTAGTTTTTCTTATTGCTCCTCGTTTTCATTTTATTTGAATTTTTCAAAATTTGCGAGATTGTAGTTTGTGGTGCCAAATGGGTTTTTGGTTCCTTTGTAATTTATAAATTGGGTTTGCTTCTTTAGCTCGATTAGGAATTGGGTTTTCTAGTATAGTTTATTGTGTGCGATTGATGAGAGATTTGAGGTTTTTCTTTAGTGGGTATGAAATATAAATTACTTTTACCCTTTTTTTAAGGTGCAATTATTGGTTTGCTAGAGCCAACCCCGCTTCTATTTCTTATGTATATAAATACTGTTGATTTTGATTTATCATATATATTACAACAACTTTTTTTGCTGTTTTGTTTCCAATCTTAGAAATTAAAGTTTCATTGGACTTGGTGTTGGACTTCTATAGTTCGATTTTGTACTATTTTATTTCTCTACATAACCGCGCATGTTATTGCCAACCCACTCGGATTCCGATCAAATCCTATTCTTTGACAGGTCTATCTGCGGGACTATCATCAGTATACATCCTTACTTTTGGAATAGCTTGAGTTGTATAATGCGAATTCATCATTTTCGTGGTGACTAGTTCTATTTGGTTTGGCTTAACGGTCAAGTCGTTCGATGCGAGAGAATGCAAATTCCATTTCCAAACGGGAGGAAGGTAGTCTCAGAGAATATGTCCTTTTCGCCCAAGCCTATAAACTTAACACCTGAGCATATGGCATCGATGCTGTGCTGCTGTAAGTAAGTAATTCATTCTTGACTCGATCTTTAGCTTGATCTCCACCTTCTAATTAACCCATGCTACCGGATTGCATTGTTGATAATTTCTTCTTGGGTTTCTTGGTATTTAGATGTTTGATAATTTTGATTGGTTCAAATGTTTTTATTAATTTTTTACTATTGCAGAGAGACTCGAATCAATGCAGAGAGACTTGAATAAATGAATTATTAATCCAAAATATATGTTTTATTTACATAAGTAAATGAGAAAAAGGTTTTGATAATGAACTGCAACAAAAACAGTTTTTGCAAGCTCATAAATTATCAATAAACAGTTCAAATATATATTAGGCATATGAACGACATATATATACTCACCTGAAATATATATATATATATAAACATATATAAATATATAATAAAGGCAAAAGTGCAAATGGCTTCAAAACTCACCTGCTGCCTGTCTGGAGAGAGCAGCTTCAGTTGCAGAGAGGAGAAATATGAAAGTTGAAGTGAATTCACATTTCACAACAAATGGGTTCTTATAGGGAATGGGGGGTACAACGTTCATATGGCATTTTTGCCATTAAATGCAAAAATGAAGTCACATGACTCTTTTGATTGCCAGAAAGTACACTCCGGTGAACTCTAAGGGGGTAATATGCAACATTTTTTTGGTTCAGGGACTGAGATGCTCCAAAATATAGTACAAGGGGGCATCATGTCGAACAGTACATCGAAGAGGATCTTCATCTACTTGGTTGACCAGCCCAAGGAAGCCACAAATTGCATGCAGAGTCAAGGTCAGTCAACCCCTCTAATTGGAATATAGTACCGAATCAATCATGGACCTTATTAAGAAATGATGGTATGTGTTGTACCAAATACTGTCAACATTAAAATGAGATGGCTCCAATTCCATGATATTTTTCTTATTTTTATTTTTTCAGTTTAATGAATCTTTCACTCATTTAATGGGAAATTTAGATTTTACATGTGTGTATATATATATATATATATATGACATTTGAGCAAATATCCTGCAGCTTATATGTAGAGTCTTGGAGATGGCGAATACACACCATCTTTTATGTCCATCCTCAAACATGCTTCTTCACGTGTTCTTGTTCTGTCTGTCGTGGCTTCTGATGTGTTGACACAGACCCTACCCAAGGGGAATACAACCACTGCTGCCACCTCCTCTTTCATGGTCACTGAGCCGGGCTGCCAACGTCAATGTGGCAACCTCACAGTCCCATGCCCATTTGGCATCGGTGTGGGTTATTCCACAAACTCATGGTTTGATATCAACTGCAGCACTTTTTACGACCCATTCAAAACCTTTGTAGGTGGCATTCTTTAGGTCCTAGATATATCTGACATACGTGCATCAAGAACCACTCACACACTGCAAATAAGTTCACAATTGTTGGGTGTGATGACTCTGGTTTGATATCAGGGTTAGAATGCCCTAATTTCACCAGTGGGTGTGTTTCGTCCTGTTCCAGAAATGGGGACGTACCTAGTGGAGATTGTTCTGGCATTGGTTGTTGCCAAACCACCATACCAAAGGGTATAAAGTGGTGGTACTTTTTTCTTGATTCCTTTGATAACCGCACCAATGTCTCATGTTTCAACCCTTGTGGCTACACCTTCGTCGGTGACCAAGACTGCTTCACGTTCCACGGTCTCTCTGAATTACCAGATAGAACTTTCGTGGACCAGATCATGTATAGTGTTCCATTGGTGCTCGACTGGGTGATTAGGAATCAGAGTTGCAATGAAGCCCAAAAATAGTCAATGTAATGATTCAGGGACAGTGATTATGGAGGATATTGTTGCAGCTGCAAAATTTGGTTACGAGGGTGATCCTTGTATTGACTATTCTGTTGGCAGACCAAGGTGTTGGATTTTTGGGCTTCATTGCAACTTTGATTCCCAATCACCCAGTCGAGCCCCAATGGAACACTATCCATGATCCTGTTCTCGAAAGTTTTATCTGATAAGTCTGAGAAACTGTGGAACTTGAAGCAGTCTTGGTCACCGACAAAGGCATAGGTACAATGGTTGAAGGAGGAGACACTAGTGTATCCATCAAGGCTACTAAGAAAAAGGTACCAACCTTTGGTATAGTGGTATGGAAACAACCAATTCCAGTACATTCCCCACTAGGTATGTCACCATTTTTGGAACAGGAGGACCACACCGCTGGAATCAGGCCCTTTTGACCATATTGAATATATTGAACCAGAGTCTTCACACCCAGTAACTGTGAACTTATTTGCAGTGTGTGGAGTACTGTATATGTGTATGAATTCACCTGATTGATTGAAGCACTTGACGGCCAATTTGTTCTTGACGCGAACAAATGTTTGAGATATATCAAGGACCTGAAAACTGCTTGCAGCTATGAAGGATTTGTGAGGGTTGTAAGAAGTGCTTCCGAGGATATCAAGCAATGGGTCTATTCAACAACCCTCACTGATGCCAAATGGGTAAGGGACTGTGAGGTTCCCACATTGACTTTGGCAGCCCGGCTTGGTCACCATGAAAGAGGTGGTGGTGCTGCTTGTATTTCCCTTGGGTAGGGCCTGTGTCAACACCAGAAGCCATGACAGTCAGAACAAGAACATGTGAAGAAGCATGACATAAATGATGCTGTGTATTCGCCATCTCCAAGACCACTACTTATAAGATATTTACTCGCAATTCATATAAATGGAAAAAGACTTATCCTCCCATAAAGGTGGGGAGATTAGTCAAAATCATGGAGTAGAGCCCATCTCATTTTAATGGTGACAGTAATGGTACCTTCATTTATTAACAAGGTGCATGCATGATTGACTATAATATAATGACTAACCCTTATCCTATCTATAACTTAGAGAAAGGCTACAATACCCTGGGTCACATACTATGTGGTATTCCCCGATCAATGCAATGGCTATCTAGCAACCACAGATACTTTCCTAGAGTAGTTGTGGCTGTATTGAATACGTATTTGACACTCTGGATACGTGTTTGATACGGCTAAGATACAACATAATACAGTTAAGAGTCTGATATGGTTGGAATACAGCTGGATACTTCTAATATACATCGGGATATTTTGAAATAGGGCTAGACAAAATCATAAATATATTTATAAAAAATAAGTCTAATTGTAATAATAAGAGTGTGTATTTTTTTTTTTTTTTTTTGTCTTTTGTCTTAATCTAATTGCCTCTTTATTTATGAACATATCGGTGATTACATTTACATTCATAATATTATGGAAAACTAATAAAAATTTATTATTTTATTAATGTATCTTGCCATACTGTTTTTTTTTTTTTGGGTGGAGATTTATCGTATCAACCGTATCCGTGCTTCATAGAACGCAATTATTTTAAGAATGAATATTGATGTAATATTTGTGCCACACATTTATTTTCATGATACAACAAAATGCAACACTTTAATTATATTGAAATACTATAATAGCTTAACTTTTAAGATACAATACTTATACATTGAAATGGTATTATCGATATAATGAGGTTGCCTATTACAATACAAAACTTTGTATTGAAGAAGGTTTGAGTGCATGAAAGGTGAACGGAGTATTATCTAACTCCACATCTATAATTTCTTCATTTTGGTGGATCAAGGCACCTGATTGATTGCAGCACGAGACCGCCAGTTTGTTCATATGGATATGTGTGTGTTATGCATATAAATAAAGGCACACATTTATAGAAGCATCACAACAATAACACACATACATATGGGACAAGTGTTTAAGAGTAGGTGTGGAAGCTGCACTTGCATGTCGCTACTCGAAGGTGCACTTGCATATCTCTACTCGAGGTTGGTGCCATTGGATCAAACCCAAGTAACTACACCAGTTCAAGGGACATTGGGGTATCTAGATCCTGCATACTTTCATACGGGTCAATTGACTGAAAAAAAGTTATGTTTACAGCTTTGGAGTGGTTCTCACTGAATTCTCTAGTGGATAGAAACCTTTGTGTACAGAGAGAACCCAAGAAAGAAATATGGCCATATGTTTTGTTAGGTCCATCAAGCAAAACTGTCCGTTCCAAATTCTTGAGCCTCGAGTGGTAAGGGAATGGACTTCAGAGCACTTTCAAATGTTTGCTGAGCTTGTGAATAAATGCTTGAACTTGACAGGCGAAGAGAGGCCTGCAATGAAGGAGGTGGCAATGGAGCTAGAAGGTTTAAGGAAATTTGTTGAACATCCATGGGTTCATAACCAAAGCCATGAAGATGTTGTGGGCTTAATTGGTGAAGCATCAGACCTATAAACAGTGCCAATAAGCCCATATACTAATTATGGGGGGACTCCACTGAACAAATATAGTTTAGATCGCCATTTGATTGCTGCTATAGATAGCCCTCCGTTGATATATATAATTAGGCCACTTGTAATAATGTCATGATACCTAATTAGCATAAGTGACAAAAGAAATAAATTATGCTAATTATTTTCGAGTTCATATGGTTTGCATAGTGATATTGTACAAACTGTACAGTAGTTCATATCTTCATGTTTCATGGCAGCGAATAGAATGTGTAAATTGTTGCGTAACCATTATAGACACATGAATGCTAGACTCGTGTCATTGTTAACCTGTACTGGTGTTTCATAAAAATGAAGACTATGCAAACCATTTGAACTTGAAAATAATTAACCTTCAATCCTATTAGCATTCAAGGCTTAGAAAGGGACCAATACTCAAATGATGTGAACATGACTCAGAACCTATAACTTGATCAACAAAAGATATTTTCTCGAAGTTCTTATATCAGCCATTTTTAGTGATGGAGCCAAAAATTATTGTCCTTTTTAACGTTTTTGGAATATTCGTCAATGGAGGACTTTGAGCAATTGATTCAGTGGTTCGTTGATCAATCTTTCCATATGCATGAACAAGAAATTATGCGGAATGCTGAAAGTTGTTTTTCTCTACCATCTGGCAGACTTGGTGGTGCAGGAATGAAGCTCCCCATAAAGGAGTTTCCTCGCATGTTGATCAGTATGCTAAGCAGACAGATTATCTGGTATGTATTGGACTCGTTGGGCCTCCAGCTTCAAGACCTGGTGGTTAATGGTTATGGTTCAGGTCTGAGTTTCTGTGGAGAGTTGCTTGTGTTTTTCTGGTCTCAATCGTTTTCTTTGTTTCATTCGTATTGGCTTATTATGCTCACTGCATATGTTTTGTTGTTGTTTGGTTGTGTAATGTCTCCTTACTATGTGGTATTGTTCTGTGTAGATGTTATGATCATCTGGCTGTAAGTTTTGTTTTTTGTTGAATAGGAATTTTCGTTTTAGCTAGACAATTGGTATGGCATGGGTCCTATTAACAGCGAAATTAGTCATAGCTTGAGTCATGTACAACTCCAATATTAGGTGATGGTAGCATTTTATATTATGGAAAAGAGATTATTATTAACAGTTGTGGAGTATTTCTGAAGTGCTATGCTAAATATATATGGGTCTTAAAGTTTGGAAAGTTACTTCTCTCTAAAGTGGTGGAGTATCTATATATTTCTTAAAAATTGTTTATCATTTCAGATTGTCTATCATGGCTACAACAATTTGTATTAAGAGGATTGCTAGCTACAGTTGCGCTATAGAAGGATAGTCGCCCGCCTTATTGGTTGAAAAATCAATCATAAAAGGTATAATTAATATTTCTTTCCTACTTTAATGGAACTTTAAAACTTAACATTTTATGACCAAATTAGCCTTTAAAATTCTAACCTCTTTATTTTCTTTGGGCGTTTGTATATATACATACATGTATAAAACCTTCATTATTTATCTTTTTGTACATTTGTCTTTATATGTGTGTGTGTGTGAATCTTTAGTTTTCATCGTTATTAAGTTTTAATTGAAGTAATATTATGAGATTGAGTTTTAATTGAATTAAAATTATAGAATTTGAGTTTTAGTTAACTTGTAAAAGAAAAATAAGAATGGTTTCATAATTCATACATGATATGGTTAACCATATATGTTTAGGATAATGTTTAGCTCCTAAACATCACATTTAATAATAAAATAATTCATACTTAAAAACACTATATACATTTATTCAATGATTGATCCGAGAAAGTAAAGAAAGATGTAGATTGTTTTATTACTAAAGGTAACGTGTTATTTTGTAATTGGACCACATATGGGTGAGTAACTTCACCCTATTCATCAGTGAGTAGCTAAGCATTGTCCGTGTGTTTATATATATATATATAAACAAAGAAAAGGAAAAGAACTGAAAAAAGAAAGGAAATAATCTATTCACACGAGTTTTGGTCATAAAAAAAACTACTAAAAAAAATAATAATAATAATGAAGGAAGATTAGAAAAAACAAATGAAAGAAGGAAGATTATTCCTATGGTAGGAGGGGAAAATGTTAAGTTATAAAAGTTAATTTGGTCATAAAATGTTAAGTTTTAAAGTTTAATGAAAATAAAAAAGATGCATTAATTATATCTTTTATGATTGGTTTTCAACCAATAAGAGGCGCGACTGTCTTTCTACAATCGCATATTAGACTGTAGCTCCTCCTTGTATTAATAGACTAAAAGGTTGAATTCTTCTAATCATTTTGCAATATCATGCCACAAAGGTAATAAGTGGCCACTATATAATTGAGTGTTGAGTGGTTTATATTATTATTATTTATTTCTATATTGAACATCAAAGTTGAACGATTCATGCAACTTTTTGAAAGTTTAAATTCAATTCTACTTGTCGAAATTTAGAAAGGTTTATATTTTCTAATCATTTTGCAATATCATGCTGCAAAGATGGTAATAAGTGGCCAATTTGTGGCCACTGTAAATTGAGTGGTTTAAATTTAATTTCATTTTGATTGAAAAAAAAAAAATCAAAGGTGATCAGTTGAAGCAACATTTAAGGACTCGTACGTTTTGTAACAACTCAAGTTGTTGAAGGTAAATTAATAATGTACGACAGCCCCATGAAGTTGTTGAAGGTAAATTAATGTATGACAGCCACATCAATGTACTGAAATAATTGAGAGCAGTTCATGGTGAAGGACCAGGTACTCTCAACGTGTCCGGTCATTAGATGAATTGTGAAACTTCTCTCAATCAGTTGAATAAACCTTCATGTGATTACATTTTTCAATAAATTACTAAGTGGACTACGAGGCAAGGTAGGAAACACGAATCTTCTTTAATACCAAGTTTTGTATTGTAATAAGCCAACGTCATTACATTCAGAATTATATTTTGAAAGTAAAGTTATTATAAATTTTATGTTACAATATTGCATTCTTAGTATAATACACTAATATTTACTGTAATTCTTAAAATAATAGTATTTTTTGAAACACGAAATGCAGTCACGATATAATATCTTACATCAAATCTCTAAAACATAAAATACATAATATATATATATATATATATATATATATATATATATATATTTGATGTGTTTTTCATAACATCATGAATGTAAATGTAATCACTAATATGCTGATAAACAAAGAGGCAATTAGATGAAAAACACAAAAGTACAAAAAAAAATCCCAACCATAGAACATGAATGACCGAGATTCTTGCTTAGACATTGAATCTCCATTATTCCTCTCCCTTTTTCTTTCTTATTCACTTTCACAATCAATTTTTGTTTTATTTTGTTTTAAATAATAAACTTTTTATTATTACAATTAGACTCTCAGTATTTTATAAAATATTTATATTTATAATTTTGTCCAGTCGAACTCCAAAACTATCCCGCGCGTTATAGAAGTATTCATCCGAATCCCAATCATACCCCTGCTTCCTAGCGTTGCTTCAGACTCACAGCTGTTTTAACTTTTAAGTACTATTTTAGAAGTATTTTTCTAAAGAATAAAAGTTGAATTAATTTTGCTATTAAAAGCTGGATGTACTTGTAGGAACAAATTTAACAACATTGTTCACAACACTCAAAAATCCTTTAATCAGAACACTCAAAAATCAATACACTTAAAAATCAATACACTTACATGAATATGAACAATATAAAGCTAGCTATTTCCCAGAAATTAATAACAATGTGATCAAAGCCGCACTACTGAATTTGTTTGATTTTCATATTAAAGATGAGAGAAGTTGAGAGACTGACGAAATATGGACCGCATTATTTTCTTTGAAAAAAAAAATGGTGAATTGACTTGGAAAATCAAAAAGTAGTGTGAAACTTTATTGGTTGCTTTTTTAAAGAGGCATTAATTTCATTCAAGGAAAACAACAAAGAAATTTCTGCCTTGCGCAATGGCAGGGGCTAGGAAACCTCATCATGGTAAAACTGAAATTTAGAAATTTTAGGGTTGAGTCTTCAGTCAGCTCGAGTTAGTGACCCCACATTTTTTGGTCTTGCCCAGCTAAAAAACACCACTTAAAAGGTAAATAAAACAACATTGTTATGGATGATCAAGCAATATAAAGAAAATATGTCAAATCTGAAATACCTACCTATCAAATTGAGACTGGAAGCCGAAGATTTGTCAGATCTGAGAAGACAGAGACCGATCCAACTGATTCACTGAATCAGAGACGAGTCGGCGCCGCGAGAATTGCGAGTGTGATCTAAGAAGATCGTAGAGACTTCTGAGTTCTGAAAAGATAGAGAGTAGAGACCAGTTGAGACTTGAGATAGTGAGAGCACTGAGAGGGCCGAGAGGTGCTGAGAGGAGAGGACTGAGGAGGGGAGGCGGAGTTCTGTAGAATGAGTCTGAGAGGTAAACTTAGTCACTTAGGAACCGGAACTGAACCGGTTTAAACGGTTCCTTATTTTAGGAAACAAAACCGTGAGAACCGAAATTTCGATTTCGGCTCCGATTCGGTTCCAGTTCCACGATTCTTTTGTGCACCCCTATGGCCAATCTGTGACCATTGTAAATTGAGCAGTTTAAATCAAAGTTGATCGGTTCATGTAATACCCCTAATTTTAAAAGGATAGTCTCGGTATTTATTTATTTATTTTTATTGTATTTTTTTAATTGTTTAATTGATTATTTGACTAACTGTTTATGTGTTTAATTGAATTAAATGTTACTTGATTAATTGTCTACTTATTTATGTGTTATTCGTATTTTGTCTAGGTGTTATTTGTATTATTTGTTTAATTAGATTGTGTGCTTAAATGATGTATTTGATTAATTGTAAATTAAATGATTAAATGTTTTATTTTATTTTATTTTATGGTTATGGTTAGTGGTAATGGGCTAACTAATTGGGTCTTATGGACTACTTGGATAGGAGGTTAGATGGGTATGGATAATTACCCATAGATAGTTCTATATGTATATATATAGATATATATGTATATACATATATATAAAAAGGAAAGTAATTTATTAATATTATAGTAACTTTAGTATTAATAAATAATCTGATGTACATATTTTATATATTTATATAATAAGGATACGTAACATGTTTTAAGTTACCTTTTAAATATTACGGTAACTTTAGTATAAATAAATAATCTGATGTATATATTTTATTTATTTAATGAGGATACAGATAGATTATATACGTAACATGTTTTAAGTTATTTTTTTAAATATTATGGTAACTTTAGTATAAATAAATAATCTGATGTATATATTTTATTTATTTAATGAGGATATAGATAGATTATATACGTAACATGTTTTAAGTTACCTTTTAATATTATGGTAACTTTAGTATTAATAAATAATCTAATGTATATATTTTATTTAATTAATAAGGATATACATAGATTATATACGTAACATATTTTAAGTTACCTTTTTAATATTTTCATTTTTTTATTTTTCTTTATTAAGTTGACTTGGATTGGGAAAAGGAATAGGGTTATTATTTAGTCTATAAATACACAACTATAGGTTGAAAAATGAGTGAAAATATATCACGTAATATATTCTAGAGAGAGAGAGTTAAAGAGAGAAGGAGAAAGAGGAAGGAAGGAGGAGAAAACCCTTTAGAGAAAAGATCAAGGAAGAAGAAGTTTAACTTTCAATCCGAAAGTTTAAGGCAAGTTCTTCTTCTATCTCTTTCCCTTTGATTCGTGTTTCTGTACATGCCTAGAAAATTCCAGAATTTATTAAACACATAAAATTAAATAATTATGCATGTTTAATTGGGTTAGAACATAGGTTTTATGAAATTGGTTCATATCTGTTCTTGTGTTATGAATTGATAAAATGCATGATTTTGATTTGATTTCTTATGTGAATTTTTACATGTTTAAATTATGTATTTTTCATATCTGTGGAATGATGGAACGTAGAAACATGCCTAAGATTCCTGAACATTAAATAGGGACTATGTTTGGGTTTTAATAAATTTAAATAGACCCAATCATAATGATACTTACTATTTGAATGTTTTAAACAAACGAATGGATTTAATCTTTTAAAATATTTTAGCAATTGAGATTAAATGTGTAGGATGAATTGGATATGGAGAATCCTTATTTAACGGTATAATAAAATATCATCATGTATAAGATTCAGTTTGTGTAGGACATATGATATAGAAAGTTTAAAGAAATAATAAGTCATTCCTATTATGTGATAACTTGATATCATATTTATCATAGTTATTTATGGAATGTTTGATGTATTTCCTTAATTGTTACATCAATTGTTGGATTGTGTGATTTAATGCACCGGTATGGGACGGTGGCATTCTAGGGATGGATTAACTTATTAGTTAAGTCCTACCTATTTTATATAAGGGAATGGATTAACTAAAATGTTAAGTCCTACTTATATTTAAGTCAGGTCAGCTGAACAAGTTGAATGACTTATGGAGGATTAATTTATTATATAAGGGAATGGATTAACTAAAATGTTAAGTCCTACTTATATTCAAGTCAGGTTAGCTGAACAAGTTGAATGACTTATGGAGGATTAATTTATACTGGATAGGATGGTTACTAGATTTTATATATATAAATATGGTGCCATGATATGAGCTTGAGTCTCAGGATCAATGGTTAGGGCGCGTATATCGCCAGGGATGTGTAGCTAGATATAGTGTAGTTGTGTACCCTGGTAGGTCTAGGTACTCATGCCCACTATATGTGCGTTTTGCATGTTGCCTACTATTCAGGTTGAGACAACCCTATAGTCTAGTGAGGTTCCTTTAGTGTGTATATATATATATACGGACTATTAGTTACTGTTGGATTGACTAGGATGTATACGTGTATCGGATCTCTGCTTGGACTGTAGTAGAGTAGAACTTGTTTGTGGGCCTGACCCACCATTATTTTTCAGGTGTTCGTCACGAGTAGAGGTTGTTCGTGCTGAGCGGGGATCAGTCTACTTCATTCTTCCGATGCTACATAGGAGTTCCTTTATGATTCAGTTTCCTGTTTTAGATTACTGTCATTTGTTTAGTTTGGATTTTCTAGGGGTCCACACAGTATGGATTCCCGAGTTGTTTTTTGGAGGATCAGTTGTATCAGAAGAGTTTATTAATTAATGGAAATATATTATGAGGTTTATTATTAGATTATCATTTTCTTTTTTGTCAGCATTTTATTTATTCTTCTTTGTTCTTTTGTACTCTGTGTTCGTTTATTATCAATTTGTTTTGATATCCTCGGGTATTCGGGCGTGGGCCTGGCCAACCCGCATTCGAAAATTTGGGGGTATCACAGTTGGTATCAGAGCACTCCAGGTTCAAGTGTCCTTAGGAGTGTCTTTCATCATGTGACTTCCGCGTTGCGTCTCTTAAAACTTAGAGCCCATATTAGGATTCGTTGTACTTTATTTACGGTTTGTTAGGAGGAGCTGATGTTAATTATATTCTGTAGTCATAGAATGGTTGGCACTAGAAAAAGGATGGGTTCAAGGTGAAAGCAATAAAGACCCAAAGGAGTAGAGGAGTATGTTATCGATTTAGTTGCCAGAAAGCAGAGTTAAGGATTGACGGTCTAGGTTCGTTTGGCGTTACTTTAAAAGTATAAGTCAAGGAAGGATTTAGGTGTACGTGATAGGTCACCGCATATCGGGACCAACACGACTTCAGTTGATTTCAAAAAGGAGACAAGCAAGGAGTAGGAGCCGAAGAGGATCCTAATGGAGGAGATTTATGTGTATCCAATAGAGAGGGTACTAAATCTTGAAGAGGGATGATTGCGCGAGGTAATCTGAATTGCTAGTAGTATATCGAATATTATTAGTAGAATTGGGGTTGATCAATCTACAAA